CACTGCTATTCATAAGGTTTTCAGTGACTGAAACCTGCCCACCTTGCGTGACCCTACTGGTATTTAAATTATCTTTGGCATAGCCTCCAAAATTACAGCAACATGCAAACCACCACAGTGTGACAAGCCTTTTATAGGGCTTCTGAGGAGTGACTTTTGGGTTTGAAGCACTGACCTTGCTGTTAAGCAGTCCAGGGCTTATCCTCCAGCACCACACCAAGACCTCTATTAATGATAGGTGCATTTTGTTGGTGCAAAATACAGGATTGGGTCATAAGGTGATTTATCAAACATTGTTAAATCAAAAGACAGAAGGTGCAAAATCAGGAAGTGAAAGAATCGAAGACGTATCTTGGTCAATGTCTTTCTTTGATTTGGGTTAGTGTTGGTTAGTTCTAGTCTTAGGATAGGAGAAGTAGCATGTTTTCAGCCTCAGGATGAGCTATGAAAGTCATAGTGGAGAAAAGCCATGGATTAATGGAATGAATAATATTTCTTTCGTATAGTGGTTCATACTTCTTTCTTGGTCATAGATCCCTTGGACTCTCTCAGGAAAGTGGGGCCCCACTTAAAAAAAAATACCCACAAATTGACACATACACCTAAAATTTGAAATGATATTTCAGGAGTTCCTGATTTCCTACCTCCCGGATGTCATGATGAATTTTGTGCTTGCAGCAGCAGTTTATAAAATGGTGGTGCACCCACCTCAGAGGGTGTGCAAAATGATCCACTGATAGATGGGAGCTTCTTCTATTCATGCTTACTTTCTGCTTTATTAAATTATAATTGTGTGTAGGTTTTCTATTACACAAAATATCTTGATTGCTGTTTTTTTTGAGGTGCCATAGAGTTGATCCTGATTCATAACAACCCTATACACACAACAGCGTGAAACTCTGCTTGTTCTTGCACCATCCTCACAATTGCTTTGATATTTGAGCCCATTGCTGCTACCACTGTGCCAAGCCATCTTCTTGGGGGTGTGCAGTCATGTAATTTAGAGTTGTTGTTCTGTGCCGTGGAGTCGGTTCCCACTCATAGTGACCCTGTACAGGGTTTCCGAGGCTGTAAATCTTTATGGGAGCAGAAAGCCTCATCTTTCTCCCGTGGAACAGCTGGTAGTTTCAAAGTGCTGACCTTGTGGTTCGCAGCCCGATTCGTAACCACTACGCTACCAGAGCTCCTCATAAGCAAAATTGGTTGTAAGAGCTCAGATTTTTCTGATAGCAAGGCACAATTGAAAAATTAATAGACTACCAATAGAGAGAATGATGCTCATTAAACTTAAATTCTAAGCTCTTTTCTCCCTAAATCGTAGAGCCATTCATAGGAAATTCAATCAAGAGGTGACTGGAAATTTTGGATTTGATAATGATGGCAAATTGGCCCACAAATTATAAGTACTTCAGCAAGTGCTTCATTGAGTCTTCCTAGAAGTTCTGAGAGATAGGTTGAACAGGTATGAGAATGGGAACTGATAGTTACAAAAGGTTGGGTGAATGAAATTCGATAGGTTCAGTAGGTATGGGAATGGAAATCTCAGAAAACAGGTTAACCAGTTTCGTAGCTAACATATGGGAATTTCCCAGGGATCCGTACCTACTCAGTGGTGGAATTGATACTCATAACCTTGGCTGGTGACCACAAATTATGTTTGTTTCACTCGTTTGTGGGGATATGTCAATCACGATGGGCTGTCTATGTTCCCATTGCTGTAGTTACTGCTACTCCCCCAGGATTCTGGGTTGTTGAATCCTTGGCTGATTTAAGCACAGGGATAGAAAGCAAATTTTAGCTTCTTTATCAGAGGGCCAGGAATCAGAGCCAACAATTCAGCATTAGTTCTCTCCTGTTGGTACTATAATACCAACATATTTCAAAAGAGATAGAGGGCTTTGGAAGGGTTTAGATACATCTATGTACAAAAAAGATTTACAGTAGGTTATTAAATGGGAGTTCTGAGGCTGGCTTCTAGGGAAGAACCAACCAGTCTTTCTGCCAAATTTCCCTTGGTGCCACTGTCAAAGGCAAAATACTCATCTAGATAGATTGTTGTTCTGACCCCAAATGACATTTCCAACTTTTCTTATATATAATCCAATTCCTGGACTTCCTTTTCAGTGATATTAAGTGAAATTGCACAAAGAAAGTCTTTTGGCATTAAGGATAATAAATGCGTTCAACACTGACTGCTCAGGTGTCTTTGCTCTTTACCAGTGCATTAGCTGCATTGATTTTAGAAGTTTAAATGACCCTTTTTACCAGACTTGATTAATATCTCCTCCCTAGATCTTGGCTACCTGCTTCTTTCCTCTCCCAGTACAATCTTCTACCCTATCACGCTTGCACAAGTTAGAGGTGGCTGACCTTCACATGACCAAGGGTCTGGAAATGTTGCCAGGACAGCTCCTTGGGCCTGATGATTAGCCTGTAAAGAGGGGGCTATTCATGGAAGGATCAAGTCTTAGTACATTGCTGTATGTCCTCCCTCCCCAGCCCCTGGCTCAGATCCTGGAAACACTTACAATGGAACCTTCTTAGTTAGGTAAGTACTAGACTGTTCTAATATGTACTTTCTAGAGGAGAAGCTTTTAGCTAAGTAGAAGGTTTGAAGGATAAGTGGGATCTCTAGCAAGAGACCGTCAGCTCAACACAAATATCACTGTTAACTGCATGAGACTAAGGTTAATTTTGTGAAATTTCCTCTAATGAAAGTTGTCTTTGCTATGTTCTGAGAACATGCCACTTAAAATTCTGTTCACATATTTTTAAAATTGTATCTCTGCAAATGAACTGTGAGATCCTTGGGGACTATTCCGCTGGGTACATGTTTGTTTACTCCTCCCCATGTCCAGTAGCCTGGTGGCCCAAGGGGGTGATGAGTCCTAGGCTGGGCTTCTCCTTTTCTTTCAAGAAATGGGTGGGTGGAAGGTTGACTGCCCTTTCCCTGGAGATGACTACTTCTCCACTTAAAACTGCTTATTTCTTTTCAGAATTTTTTGAAAGTCATTCTTGCAGATTTTAACAACAAATTTGGAAAATTTGGATATAAAATAATCCCTACCTTACTATACCAATACCTTACTGTGCAATACACCTATTGTTAGAATTTAAAAACTATATTAGTCTTTTTTATAGGCATGTTCCATACGATTCTAATGATTTGGATATTATATTTTAAATATAGTGTAATATTCCATTCTAAATATTCTTTTGTTGAGCTATCCTCATAAATGCTATTGGAATTTCATAATTTGACTATTTTTCTATTGTTATCGATTAGATGTAAAATTATTTTCTCATTGTTACCTAGTAGATATATCTAATAATAACTTATTTCTTCATTGTTTTCTATTGGATATATAATGATTTAACTATGTCCCTGTTTTTACACAGTATTGATCAAGTAAGTATTAAGCTACTGTGGGCTTAGAAAATCTGTCAACTTTGATTTCGTTTAACAAAGGTCATTATTATTATCTGTTGTAGTGCTTGGTCCATAATTGGCCCTCAATAAAGAGTAGATTCTTCCTTCTTCTCTTTCCCTTCTTTATACCTACCTGTGGCTGATTCTTGTACTGTTGAGTGTGAAAACATATTTGACATGTAACCCTGAGATTTCTAACTGCTTATCATGAAATTAGCCCTGACCATTTCAATTACCAGTGTTAATAAGTACTAGTGTTGTGATCCCTGAAGTTTAGTTTTTTTTTTTTTTTTTCTGTTTGGTCAGGTATAACTTTGTGTTTTTTCTTGTCAGATACAGAATATTAGGGCTACAAAGGACTTTGTGAATTGCCATATCTGATGGTCTCTCAATTGGTGCATATCAGAGTTTTCCAGGGTTCTTAGATATACTGATTCTTGCTAAATCTAAGTCTTTTAGATAAGACCTGGGAATCTTTCAGTATCCCATTGCAAGGCTGGGGGTTCAAATCCACCAGACACTCCAAGAGAGAAAGTTAAAAATTTCTGAGCTTCAGAATCCCTATTAGAGTTGTTGTGAGTTGGAATAGACTTGGTGGGTTTTTATTTTGGTTTGGTGTTCTGATTCAGGCAAAGGACCCTACTTTGGGGCTACTACTTGGTTAGCTAGCTAGACCTTGTGAATTTTTTTTAGAGTTAATGTTAGATTTTTATCATATTAAATCTTTCGCTTTTCAAATGAATTGAATCTTGAGCTGACTTACAACAGGAGGAAATATTCCAATCACAATTACGTTCTGCAACAGGAAATAAGCATGGAATGAACCTGAGCATTTTACTTGACACATTACTATGTTTAAGTGTATTAGAGATGTCATTGAAAGGTGCTGGGGAGGAAAATGAACTTGATTTGGCAGGTAGGCGTTCTGGTACTATTATCTACAACTGCCTACTGATTGACAGCACACACATTACCTCTAAACAGGCAGTGCACTCAGTGTATGGAATTTTTACTGAATATCTGAAATGGTTTCAGCTAATAGTGTTAATTGTGCACAGACCAACGTTTATTGACTGTTTCCAACTGTTTAATGGATAGCAAATCAAAATGTTAAGTATATATATTTGAGCAGGGAAAATATTTAATAGTGCTGTTGTTGCTAAATGCCATAGAGTCGGTTCCGACTCACAGCAACCCTGTATAGGGTTTCCGAGGAGCAGTGGTGAGTTTGAACCACCAACCTTGTGGTTCATAGTCCAGTGCTGATTCTACAGTGCCACACTAGAAATCCACCTAACAGTGTAGGAAAGAAATATCCCCATATGATAGATATGGAAACTGAGGCTCAGAGTAGGGAAGTGCTCAAGGTCAGTCAGCTGTGAGGAGCAGGATCAGAACTGGAGCTCAGTCTCCTGAGTCCTTGCTACCTGTGCTCTTTCTACTCCACTCAACTGCCCTTTATGCATGTTACACTCCAAGAAGACGCACGGCACTAACGGCTAGTAGACCTGCTATAATGCGTATCTATATGCAAAAAGCATTTAAACAAGGAATTTTACTCAGTATTTTCTTTTGGAAAACCAGACATGCTTTATTTCATTTTTTTCCACAATTTATTTAAACATCTCACATATACAAAATAGGTACAATTTTTTTTTTTTCTTGCTAGTTTGGAACCATGGAAGAAGATGAAAATTAGATTGGCAAAGAAAAAGATGCTGAATTTCAAGAAGAAGACAACATTGGGCAAATGATCCACATGCTTTTAATTGGAGATACGATGGAAAATACTGATGTGAAACCAAGTGGGAAAAATAAAAACAACAATAAGACTCAATACAGAGAAGTGTTTCTTCTCAATTTCTTCTAGCACCATCAACATTCTTCAAGTATCTGAAATACTATTTATTAGCACCTTTGCATTATGAACAAAACAAACAAGTACCTCAGTCCATCTCTGTCTAGGTCAGCACCTAATGATGTGGATCACACTCATAGGAAAGTGTTTTGAGGTAGTTTAAACCTTTGGAAGTTTGGGTTTAAAATTTCCCTTTGTGGAAGATATTCAAAAGCCACAAGTGGTGCAAATGTTCATGGTTTTTATTTGAGTTTTTAATTTTCATTTTGGTTTTCTTACAAAGGTTGACATTTTCCAAAACAGGTTACGAGTGTTGAAAATTTTCAATTCTTTTGGGGAGAGGGAGAAAGGAGGGAGTTTATTAAACCATATTGCACAATGCTCTGATCAATCCTGCTTCGCGTTTTGCCCACAATTTAAGCAAGTAGATGTGCAGAAGAATGGAAGGATTCAACTTTCAGTTAAAAAAAGAAGAAATGGCAAAGAGAAAAAGTTTTTCCAGATTTCTTTTTTGGTTTAATTTAGTTTGAGTTCATTTATTTGAAACAGACTGGGCCAAAGTCCAAACCAAATTCTTGGTCAGCGCCACCGATGTCGAAAAGTGCAATATCAAGGATGGGCAGACGAGATGGCTTATTTGTTTTGTATTCGATGATTGTCTTTCCCCATTCATTTGTCTTTCTCTGTTTAAAAGAGAAGAAAAGCAATACATAACTAGCACCATTTCTAAATCTAATAACATCTGAGGCTTAGATTTTGAAGGCACCACTTTCTGGCCTGTTGTGTCATTCTGAAAAGATGTATTCCAGATTAACAGGTTCATCTTTCAAAACAGCAAGATCAAGGGTGTCCTTAGGGGGAGGGCTTTTCAATCAGCTTAATAGTTGTTTTGTGGTTTTTTTTAAATGTCTCAATTCACATTCCAAATGATTTGTTTCTAAAATATCCTTTTCAGGATTGGTGTGTGTATGAATGAGAGAGAGAGGCAGTTTGTTAGAAATATAGTATTACTACTGGTGAAATGTTTTCAATTTAAAGCATACTATAAAGAAAGCATAAAGAAAAAATCAATGTAAGCTATATTGATAAGTGAAGGAAAATGAGTGACTATAAATGATAGCTTTGACTCTTTTAACCTTAACTAATTTAAGTTATGAGTATGTATCGTTATTTAGAAACTCATGCTAAAGAGAAATAACTAATGCACGGGCATGGTATAATCAAGGGGGCTTCAAAAAGTTCATGGAAAAGTGGAATGAAAAAGATAATGGAATTTTTCATGAAATTTTTGGAGCCCCCTTGTATAAAAAAGTATTTCAGAAGGCAAGGCCTGACAAGGATATTCTAGATTTACTGTCAAAATTTAAATAAATACATTTGTTAAAAAAAAGATTGAATAAGTTAAAATCTCCCATCAATTTGTTCATCTAATAGTCAAGCTAGAACCAACCCCCTCCCCCACCTTTCCTCCTTCCAAAATAAGTGTTTTTCCATATTTCCCTAATACTTACGGAGCAGCCATCCACAAGAACAGTGTATGTGAACCTGCTGTTGCCCTCGGCAACAAGTTCAACATCATTGGAACCTTGCAGAATGATGGCTTTTTTCAGGTTGCCAGTCTCCTCATCCATGTATGCAATGCTGTTCTTGCAGTGGTAGGTGATGTTTTGAGAGGCATGGTTGGCCAACAAACGCATGAAGGCAAGTTGGGTAGCCATTTCTTTGGAGGTCACTCCTTCTTCATTGTATTCAATCTATAGGGAACAAGATGGGAATTTCAACTAGGTGAAGAAGGGCTGAGGCGTTGATCAGGTGCTACAAGTCAAATTAAAAACCAAAGCAAAACATAAAGCACTTCAGTGCGACACTTATAGTTTAATACAGGAAGGAGTAATACACTCAGATCTGAACCTTAGGAAAATTATACTTTTTAAAGAAATTGCAATTCACTTGTCTTTCAAAGCATCTGTTACCTAGAATAGTGGTGGTAAGGCCATGTAACAATGAAACCAGCTTCAGTTGAGTCTGTATGTGTATATTTCTTCTACAGAATAAAGACTTTGACCTTATTTTTCTGTAATTCAGTAAAGTTGGTAAGAAGGATTGATTAAAATTTTAGAAAAGCTGCTCACATTTAGAAAATACATATGCATGTGTGTGGGGCCATTGGCTGGCCAGTGATCCTTCACATCAAATAACATTAGTTTCTTCAATGATTATCAATTAAGTCAAATTTGAATAACAATTTTGAATTATAAGATGTATTCAATCAATCTATCTTTTAATGTGCAATCCAGGATAGAGCTGGAACACAAGAAATGGCAAGTGTTTGTTTAACAAGCCCATTTTGGTAAATAATTAAAATACAGCTAATTAAAAATTAAAGAAAATCTAACAAAATATTGGAGTCCTGGCATGGACTTGTAGGATAAGCACTCACCCTCAAGGTTTATCTGAACCACAGGGTTGGCAGTTCAAACTTGCTAGCCATTCTTCAGAAACCCTATGCAGGGCTGCTATGAGTCAGAACTGACTTGACAGCATTTAACAATGGCAGCAACAACAAATATTATTTAGTGGAAAAAGGACTGTTTGCAGGACTTCTCACCTGGGTACCACCATTGATAGTTTCTCCTAACCAGACGTGCTTCTGGGCCTTGGCGTTCCTGTACCAGTTCTTAGCTGGGATATTTGATGGTTGGGCCCGGATGCAGGTTTCACCAGTAGAGAAATCACAGTATACTTTGATAGCATCCATAGTGCATCCTTGGTTGGGGTCAATCCAGTAGTAGCCTTTTAAGAAGACAACACCATATAATAAGTAATAACTCTCACTTAGCACAGGACAGGCTATAATAACTACTACCCAAAGAAAAATTCTGGTAATTAACTATTTTTTTTTATTATTATTAACAGCACACCTCACATATAATAAGAAAAGGGTGGCTATTACTATCGAAAAGGCAAAAATATAGATTAAGAGAAGCTTCAGAATAGGTGGTGTTTGGGAGAAGACACTGATGCTTCACTAATCACATATGACTTCACATAATGTTATTTTTCTCCAAATACATTTGAATTCTAAAACAAAATACCAGTAAGGTTCTGGCAATAGGAACTGACTTTGAAAAGCCAAGCTTGTGAGGAGGGTCAGTCTGGTTTGGTCATCCTAACCTACCGCTGCTCCACTCTGGATGGCTAAGTCTCAAGTCACGGCAAGTGCGAGCGGGGTTCTTCTTAGAGCCTTCAGGAGTAAGAAGGGTCTCAATCTGGTTGTTGAGAGATTTCAGAGTGGCATCAACTTCAATATCCTTGGGTCTGAGAGAAGGTGGTGAGCGAGGCTGGTCAGCCCTGTAGAAGTCTCCATCAAAACCAAAGTCATAACCACCACCGCTTATACCAGGTGGTCCAGGAGGACCAGGGGGACCAGGAGGACCCTGCAGTAAGAAAAGTGACAAAGAGGAGGTTTTTTATTTCTCACAGTGAGAGACGTTACTGATAACCAGTTTTCAACTGAACTTCATACAAAATCATGCTCTAAAACTGCTGCTGCTGCTCAAGACCTCTTTAAAGTGTTGAAAAGCAAAGATGTCAGTTTGAGGACTAAAATGTGTCTGACCCAAGCTTTAGTATTTTCAATAGCCTTATATGTGTGGGAAGTTGGAGAATGAATAAGAAAGACTGTAGAATTGATGCATTTGAGTTATGGTGTTGAAGAATAATATTAAAAGTACCATGGACTGCCAGAAAAACAAACAAATCTGTGCTGTAAGAAATACATTTAGAATGCTCCTTAGAAGCCAAAGTGGTCAGGCTTTATCTCTCATACTTTGGACGTATTTTTAGGAGGGACCAGTCCCTGGAGAAGGACATCATGCTTGGTAAAGTGAAGCAGCAGAGAAAAGGAGGGAGATCCTCAACTAGATGGACAGGCACAGTGGCAGCAGCAATGGGCTCAAGTGTAGCAGCGATTCTGAGGAGGGTGCAGGACTGGCGGTGTTTCGTTCGGTTGTACATAGGGACGCTATGAGTCAGAACTGATGGTACTTAACAACAACACAGTAAGCAATTATCTAGCTTCAGTCTGAAGAAACGATTTCTCAGGTGAGTGATACCCTTTATTGTTTTCCAGAATCATACTTACACTAGGGCCTTGGCTACCCTGAGATCCACGGACACCAGCAGGCCCAACTGCACCAGGATGTCCAGTGCGACCATCTTTGCCAGCAGGGCCAGAGGGACCAGCAGGACCCTAAGGAAGAATGATACCATGTCTGTGATCCAGGAAAAACTACAGCAAGGGAGCAGAGGCCGGAGTCTCCTTGGCCACCTTAACCTCCATTTCAGAAAAAAACTATGTTTTAAATTGACCTACCCTAGGCCCAGCGGGACCCACAGTGCCAGGAGAACCTTGATCGCCATGTTGACCCTTTAAGGAGAGAACAGAAAAAACACATTTTCAGAACATGTGTCAGTGCACAATTTGCTTTTTTGTTTTTCAAATTGAATGGCAAAACTTTAGTTTCAATGGACTCTGGATTGAAGAATTGAAAATGTCAAGTGGGGCTCTTTTCTCCCATTATATCTATTATATTCAATTATTATTATTATTTTTTTTTGCTACAAGCTATTTCAGCAGTGCAGTATTAGTCACTCTTCTAATTATATTTATTTAAAGTGGGGTTGAAGGACATTGTTGCCTGGAGATTTTAATGTATGTATAGTTCCATTTCCCTCAACCCTCACCTTTTCGTGTTGGGATGCAACAGTGTTGTTTCTGAGAGATGAAATTAGTCAGAAAATAGAAACTGGATACGATGTCTAATGTTTTATGACAATGGCAGTGAAAATTTGGGAGAGGCAATTCCGAGTTGAAGGCCATTAAGGCTGGTATACATGTTGATGACCACATTTTACTTACCGCATTACCAGGAAGACCCTGCAATCCATTGTGTCCCTTAAAGCCACTAAGACCTCTGGGCCCCTTTTCACCAGGTTCTCCCTTATCACCACGAGGACCTTGTGAGCCCTAGAAGGAAAGAAAAGGGCCAAAACGACATTTACTTTTTTATTTTTAAGGACACTCACTTCTCCATAGAGTCAAGTTTAATCTGTTCAAATGTAACTCAAAACATGCAAAGGAATAAAAGCCAGGCTGGTACTACTCCCATCTCAACGGCTATTGCCTTAATCTGCTTTAGTTGAGCTGTCTGTAAGCTGGCTAGGTGCTTGTGATTACTTAATACAAATAGTCAGAAAAGATAAAATACCAAAGTTTTGCATCAATTCGCTACATGGACTAGCATTTATTAAACATAAAGTATAGACTGTTATTTTGGGTGCACAGTGGCTTCACAGGATAAACAATGGATGGAGTACCACAAGGTCAGTGGTTCGAGCCCACCGATGAGGCTTTCTGCTCCCATTAAGATTTAAAGCCTCGGAAACCCTATACAGGGTTGCTATGACTCGGAACCAACTAGATAGCATTTAACACTATCTAGTATTTTATTACTTACAATAAAATATCCTCTATTACTCTTTCCTACAGTATTTTGTAAAGAAGTCATCACCATGTACTCACACTAGGTCCTCTTGGACCAACAGCACCAACTGGACCAACAGAACCAGCAGGACCCTGTAAATTAGAAAGGTACAGATCATTATCAAGTCCAAGGTCCCTTCCCCGCATGAAGACAACAGCACTAAGGGACCAGGGATTACAAACTTACAGGTTCACCACGGTTTCCATGCTTGCCAGAGGGACCCACGGAGCCATGAGGACCAGGTGCACCCAAAGCACCTACGGGACCAGCGTTGCCAGGGTAACCACGTTCTCCCTACCAAAGGCAGAATGAAGCTTAGTCTTGATTAGGACTGTATTGCAGTCACTTTTAAATTAAACAGATGAAGAGAGTTGTACTGACCTTGTGTCCAGGGAGACCATCACGACCTGGGGGACCATCACTTCCAGGGTTGCCCTGCAAAGACCCCATGCACAGTAAATTACTTACTGAGGTCCTGCTGCCCACCAGCCCCTTCATTACTTCCAGTGGTCAATAGTGACCCCCCTTTGTCAGACTGTTAAAAATTAGCAACAAAACCCTGCTAACCTAGATTTTTTAAAGAGGTGTTTCTTAATATTTTGGTCCACCTTTGAAGCATGTTTGTCTAAGGTCCATTCCCCCTCCAAGAAATTGTTCATATTTTCACTAGCAGGAGCCGTCAGTACATATATATATGTTATGGAGAAACAGATCATCTAGTTTGGAGATTTAGAATAAGAGACCCTCAGAACATAAAGTTACACACATATGAAACACTGCTCTGTTTCATTTGACAGACCAAGTGTTGGACTTACATCACGACCAGCTTCCCCGGGGGCACCATTGACACCAGGGTTCCCCACAGCACCAGGGGGACCACGAGCACCAGGGGGACCTGCGATGCCCAGAGGACCAGGTTCACCCTACAGAGGCAGAGAAGATGAAACATGACTTTTCTCATTGGACTAAGTGTTAAACCTCACCCTCCAAAAACCACCTCAGCTGGGAGATTCCAGTTTGAAGTGAGAAAATGAATGAAAGGTGAGTTGGCCATAAAGTGAACAGAAGTATGGTAGTAATCCCTGCTCTTCCCTCTGGCCCTACCCCATACACTTAAAGATAGTCAGCTCTTAAGTAGTTGTGGAATACTGCTCTGTACAAGGAGAGCCTCGTTTTGCTCATTATCTCAAGTTAAATGAATTCATAAAGTTGACAGAATTTATGGAGATGAGCTGGTTCCTCATTGCTATCACCTATAAGGGTTAATGGAATGATTCAGAACTTCCAGAGTTTCATTTTTCCTACAGGATAAATGATGCCAGTATCTCATATTGCAGAGGAGTAAATGCAATTAGAGCTTATATCATTCTTAAAGCATGTAAAAAGAACAAAATCATCCTGCATAATATTAAATTGTGTCTTTGTAGAGTATGTCTAAGTAAGGTAGTATTAAAGCTTCTTAGATAAGTGACAGGTGATCTCTATAAAGAAAATGTGAGGAATAAAAATCTTAAGCGAAGTTATTCAGTGATCAACCTGTCATATTTGAAGTGACAGCTTTAAAAATCTCTTATTATGTTAATGAGACTCCGATGGTGTGAACCACTCACCAGTGATCCTGCAACACCTGGCAGACCACGTTCACCTCTGGAGCCTGGGAGACCCAGAATACCAGGAGCACCGAGAATACCCTGAGGACCTGGGTTGCCAGGAGGACCCTAAACAAGAGGAAAATAAACTGAATACTATTGATAAGACTCTAGGTGATAAGACAAGGCTGACTTGAGGATTCTAAAACTAAACTCTCCTCACCACGAAAAATGGCAAGTGGCCTCCTACTAGAAGGAAATGTCCTTAGATCTCTTTTCTCTACTGAGGACAACAAACTTACATCTTGGCATGCATGTTTTCTTTTTCATTTTTTTTTTTTTTTTAAACTGGTTCCTTCTTGAGGTCAATGGTATAAATTTAAAGCATGGCTTAGGTAAAGCAAATCATTTGGGGTGGGGAGTATAGGTTTTATAGATCTATTTTGACTTTGGCCCTTGACTGAACCAGGGCTAATGAAGGTAAGTTTCAGCGTAGCAGTAATACTAGGTAATGCACGTTAAAGGAGTTACTCGCTTACTGACTGACACGGATGGATGGATTTACAGCATAATGGCCACAGCAATAAGATTCTAATGGCAATTGGATTCTATTTTAATTCAGGTATCAGTAGGGTGCCATCAACAGTTTAGAGGCACATTTTGATAAATCCATGAGTCTTCTCATCTACTGTTACCCTCATCTAATGCCTTCTGATCATCTGCTGAAGCTATAATACCTCAGTATCTGCTGGACAGATTTCCTGGCCCAACTCAACTCTACTTGGGAGCTCAACAAATATAGGCTACCTGAAGATTTGGGTGAGGGCTTTATTTTACTTCAAACACAAAATAGTAATAAAGAGGAGTTTGAAATCACTTACAGCAGTACCAGGCTCTCCAGAGGGACCCTTCTCACCAGTAAAGCCAGGGGGACCAGATGCACCTGTTTCTCCAGTTCGGCCAACTGGACCTTGGTCACCACGAGGACCACGAAGACCTTCTTTACCAGCAGCACCAGGGGGACCAGGAGGGCCAGTAATACCCTGTGAGCAAATGCACAAGATGATTTAGCTTCTGTTAATCATCCTGGGCCTGGAGAAGAGCAGCAGAGGTGCTTGATACTAAAATGCAAATAGTGTGATACAACAAAATAATATTCTGGTCATGTCAGGAAATATTAGACTTTCTAACATTCTTCCTTCTAGACGGAGCTCCCTTCTCCTGAGGCCCTAAGAAGCAAATGACTGTAGAAGAGTCCAAAGAAACTTTCTGTAAGGAAAAGCAGTTTCTTCCCATTGAAACTCTAGTATACTGGGATCAGAACTATATAGACTTATGAGTTAGTTGTAAATGCAAAGGACTTTGGGTTTCAGAGTTCCTACCCTAATTTATTTTGGAAGGAAGTCAATACTGGCATTTTGCTTATCATTGAGGAATCATATAGAATCTCAACTAGTTTTAATTAAATGCCTACAGGGAATGAAGATTTTTCTGGCATGAACCTGTAAAAGGTTTCCAAGAAATCAACATCTTTGCTATTTTTTTCCCTGAAACCTTAACCAGAAGACTTAATCCTTGGTAATTAATTAAATTCTCTTGAGTTCTGACAGGAGAGTCTGAATCAGAATTAAATTAGAGGCCAAACCACTTTTAAATTCAGGAACAATTATTTCTAACAATAGATGCAAAATGTTGGCTATAAAGGGTAATTAGATATAGAAATATCTGATAAATGACTAAAACTATTATTTCTTTCTTTTTTATTTTAATTTTTTACTTTAAGAAACCATGCCTTTAAAAGGGGAATAGTATATCTATGAATAAAAGTCTCTTAAATTGTTATAAAATATGATTTGTTAAGGTGTTGCCTTAATGGTTCAGAAAACTGGTTTCAGACCAGGAAAGTAAGGGCAAATATTAGTAACATGTCTTCATAGAGAGTTTCTTACCACTTTTATACCAGATGCCAGGTCTTTTGACTACAGTAAATGGAGACATAGGCTTGAAGTGATTTACTTACAGAAGGTCCAGGAGGCCCCGTCCGTCCAGCTGCACCAGGGAAACCAGTTACACCCTAAGAACCAAGCACATTACAATTGCACAGTTAATATCAACTCCAGGGTTTTAAGTAAGATGAACATTTCTCCTTTGGGAAATCCTCTATACATGTATAACCAGGAATAAATTAAGTAGTCTGTAATGTAGGCAGCCTCTTATAGGGTGTTGTTTAACTAGGATCTGGAGAGTCTTTATAGCTTCTGGACGAGCAAGACCCAGAATTTGCCTGAAGACCTTGATGGCTCATTTTGAAAGCTAATACATTATCTGATGGTTGTAAGAGCAGGAGGATAACACATTCTTCCATTATTATGCATTAATGTATATACATTAATTACTTGGCTCAGTTCTGAGGAAATGCATAATGACTACGTTAGTTTGTTTACAGAGGAAGGCATCCAGTTGTCCAGTGAGAGCGAAGGAGCCTTGCTGGTGTAGTGCTTAAGACTGTTAACCAAAGGGTCAGGGGTATGAACCCACTAGCCGCTCTATGGGAGAACTCTACGGCAGTCTGCCTTACTGTTACAGTTTAGGAAGTCCTAGGTGGCAGTTTTACTCTGTCCTGTGGGGTCACTATGAGTCGGAATTGACTCAGTAGTAGTACAGTTGTCTTTTTTTGCCCCCCTTGTGACAGAGGAACTCAGAAGAGTTCAATCCAGGGGAGCTCTGGGCCTCTAGGGAGTCAGTCACAGTGTGAGAACCACTGGATGCCAAACTTAAGGATTTATTCAGTCAGAAGAAGGGGGCCACCAACAGAAAGAAAATGGGCGCCAAAGAGATTATTTATATCTCAATTCGATTCAACCATGGTAAGTACCTGAAATGAAGTGGTAGGCAGCAACATGCTGGGACTAAATTAATATCTTATGTACTTGACTTTAACTTCAGTGTCAGAACTGCTCTGAAGAGAATGAACTTGACCCTCAAGAATCTCCTTATCTACCAAAAAACTCAAAACTTTCAAGTTGTCATTGATGGAATTTGGAGAAAGAAAAATGTTCAGAGTCCATTCTAAATACTCACAGGGGGGCCACCATCACCACGACTTCCAGCAGGACCAGGGGGGCCATTTGGACCCTAAAAGGAAACAAAAAATGACAAAGTCAAATCACAAAAATTTAAAAATACATATAAATGCTATATTGTTCTTCAAATTGATAATTTTCCTATCTATTAGAAGCAAACAAATACATCTAGAAATTAAAAATGATTATCTATACCACACAAAACAAATGTCAATTTCCTTATGGGGTTACTGAAGAATTAAAGTATGATAATATTTATAAAACTTATATTAATTAAAAAGCAGCATATAAGTATTAATTCCTTTTTTTTTTTTTTTTTTATCATCTAGTATATTCTCTGGCATATAGTAGACACTTGGCCTAATGCTGAATTTTAAGATCTTTTAGATACCTGCAGGCTGGGTTGACCACTAGTCAATTTAACTTACAGATGGACCAGCAGATCCAATGGGGCCAGTGGGGCCAACAGGACCATTTTCTCCCTTAGGACCTTTGGTTCCTCTCTCTCCTTTAGCACCAGGTTGACCAGCAGCACCCTGTTGGAAAGGAAGAGTTATAATATTCTGATTCACTCTATTCCCCAAATTCGATGTTTCAGATTAATCTTCTTTATATGATACTCACAGCAGGACCAGCAAATCCATTAGGGCCAGCAGGACCAACCTCACCACGTTCACCCTATGTAGGAGAGGCAATTAAAAAATGTCTCAGAAAGGCTTATCAACATCTAAAACTAGTAAAGTATGAGTATTGAAAATTATCCAAGTTTTTTACTTACAGGGCTACCACGAGGGCCAGCAGGACCAGCAGGACCAGCAGCACCAGCCTCACCCTATAAAGGGACCAAGAAAAGTTTGTTAATGTGTCCAGGATGTTCACAGAGGTAGGAGAGAGAGAGAACAGTGGTAGAGAGTGAGTTGTTGTCAGAGTTTATAGGTGCCTTAGAAAAGAAGATAAATGCACATCTCATAGAGTAAAAGGAATTAGATTCACACCCTTCTTATTACATTCATCTTGGGGGTTGAAGTGGTATTGTGTGTACATTTGCAAAAACATGATATATCAGTGCCCACAATACCAGGAGGAGGACATTTTGATTTCTAGATGGACACAGGACTGATCTACTTGTGGCTATCTTTCCAATACAATAAATAAGGTCTATTTTAAGTGGACTGTTGGATGTGAAATGGGTACACTATGAGTTTTATTGATTTTTTTTTTTTCTCCACAAGTGGAGGTTTTGAGAAGGTCTAGTACATTAGTTGTATATTGTTAATGGGCATCAGGGAAAGACTTTGAAATGAATGGCATTAATTAAAATACAGATCAGATAACTAATACATCTATAGAATGGGAAAGAAGACTTCAAATATGCATCTATTTCCTACCGCCCCTTCACAACAGCTAGGTTTTTCAAGTAGTGGGCCATAAGAATGAATGCTGGGACACTTTGGAATTATGGAAGGCAGGCAGTTTTAGGTATGGCTATTGGCATGGAGAATTGAGACTTGAATGCTTACCCGGTCACCAGTGGCTCCAGCAGGACCCGGGGCACCTACAGCACCAGGAGCACCCTAGTACCAAAAAACCCCCCCAAAACATAAAAACCCCATGAGTTACTAATCATACCCCCATACCAACAACAAAAGTAAACCTCTAAATTCCCTCTATGTGCTTATAAAGTAGCTGCACAGTATTCCTGCACATTCTGGTTAGATATCAAGAATGTGACTATCAAGACTATTAGAAACCACTATTAGGAAGTGAATACTCCAAAAACAAAAATTAGGAATCTGATTGGGAATTTGAGTGATCTAACTCTCTGCTTTTGTAAAATTCCCTTGAGAGCAGCAAAGAGTAGTCTTGTTTGGGAGTGCCAAGATGCTGAGATCAGAGGAAGGACTATTAGGAATATGCTACAGTGAGTTATCAGAAAGGTGTGATGCTGTGGGTTAATGCACTGGACTGTAATGTTGGCTGGAACCACAAACTCGGTGGTTCAAGCTCACCAGCCAGTCTTTGGAAACCCTGTACAGGGTTGCTGTGGGTTGGAACCGACTTGACAGCACTAACAACAAATGGGAGTGGTGGGAAATAAAACTAAGGCAGTTTGTGGCCAGGAAGATTCATGATACCTACACTGTAGGTGGGATTATTACAATGATGGGATAAGCTTTGGTAGCTACATGGCATTAAGATTTAAAACACTGGAAGCCACCAGCCACCCTGGGGGACAAAGATGCAGCAACCTGCTGCCATGAAGATTTACAACCTTAGAAACACTATGGGCCAGTTCTCCACTGTCCTATAGAGTGGTTAGGAGTTGTAATCAACTTGATGGCAGTAGGAATGGATTTAAGAGTTAATACTTGGGTCATCTCTTTGCAGCAAGTCTTTGGAGCTTCTTTTTGCTCTTTGGGTCTGTTCTGAGTGATAAATTCCCAGGACATACATTTCAATAAGTAGGCCCTTTTCAAAGGTTGCTGTTGTTGTAGTTGCTAAGTGCCACTGAGTTGGTTCCATCCCATAGTGACCCTGCATAGGGTTTCCGAGGAGTGGTTGGTGAGTTTGAACCACCGACCTTGTGGTTCAAACCAACCTTGAGGTCGAGTGCTTATCCTACAGCGCCATACCAAGATTCCTATTAAAGTTTATGGCTTCTTAAAATGTTAAGAGGTGTATTTAAAAAAAAAAAATACCATTTAAGCTTAGAATAATCATTTAAAGCACTACTAAACCTACAGCCTTTGGTCTGTAGCTTATAGTTGGTATAGTTAACTCTAGGGGGAAAAATACATTATTACTTTCAAAGGAATAAACTCTGTTACATTTTTACTATGGAAAGGGATATGATTTTACTTTGTTGAGCTCTTCTTTTGTCAATTCTATTTTGAAAAACTTCCCAAATCAAATTGAGTGAAATGTAGAAAAGGTAACCTAAGTATCAACCAACCAAACCAAACCAAACCAAACCAATTTTTTACTTACACGAGCACCATCTCTCCCAGTGTTACCAATCTCACCTCTGAGGCCAGTTTCACCCTGAAAGTCAAAGCAAGAGCAACTTTGTTTTCCAACCACATTTTTGAATAAAAATTAATCTGATATACTTTTATAGAAGAAATTGTATCTTCAGTCATTTAAACTCTTTAGCAATGTTGCCATTTTGTAGGCTGTTAAACAAGGTAAAAAAACATGAGGAAAAACAACCAAAAAAATTAATTCAAGGTCCTTTCCTGGTAATTACTAAACTACTTTTTAAAAAATTTTCCATTCACACTTCTGAAACATAATCAAGCAAAAGGTACAAATTCATGTGGGCAGAATTATAAGGCAACATCACAATGGGCTTCAGTGCCTGATCAGTCCTATGTCATACATAACTAATGCAGCAGCATGGTTGGCAGCTGTTCAATATAGTTTCTTCCCATTAATTAGGGCAGGATGAGGCACTATTGTTAGTGGCATTAAAATGAGCCTCATGTATTACTCAACACCATCTGTTTGCATGAAATTCCATGGTAGCGAGGAATTTTGCCAGATTAGTGAGTTTAGAAATGCGTAGGTGGCAGAGGGAAATATCTACGTATAACTATATATATGTAGACAGATAGATAGATAGATAGATAGATAGATAGATACATACATATCAAAATGCTGCCATACCACCTGCCAAGAATTGTAAAAAACCAGGGCAGAAGCTCTTGCTAGAGTTCACCAACACTGTGTTTTAGGGTCCAGCACTGAGAGGCTACCTTTTCTCCCTTTCCTCCAGGAACGCCAGCAGCACCCCTCTCTCCTGGGAGTCCACCAGGTCCAGATGCACCAGCGGTGCCTGGAGCACCAACTACACCAGCTTCACCCTGGAATCAAACACACGTGAAATCAATTATCTCAGAGGTGAAAGAAGAAAATTAAGAATCAAACACTTCAAAGAATTCCAGTTTAAACACTTAATAGGCTGTATTTTTGCTTGCCTAAATGCATAAAGGAGGGCTTTGAAAGGAGGGAGAATCGAACAGAGGAAAATGTTATTAATGATATGCTGACTAAAGAGAAGAGGGTAGTGGGAGTGGCTGTGATCCTCCTATAATTGGCCTCCAATCGTCTTCAGTGAGTTGTTGCTGTTAAGTGCCGTGGAGTCGGTTCCGACTCATAGCGACCCTGAACAGGGTTTCCGAGGCTATAAATCTTTATGGGAGCAGAAAGCCTCATCTTTCTCCCACGGAGCAGCTTCAGTGAGACAGGCATGAAAAAGAAGTAGCTAGGAAGGTGTGAGGCAAAGAAAGAAAAATGTTTGCCCGCAAATATTTTTCAAGGATAAGTCTCTCAGCTCAGATAAAAAACAGAATGAGGCCTCATCAATTGGTGAAATGTGTGCATTTTAATCTCTTAAGAGACTGTAGCTTCCATTTTTGTATAAAACCTTACAATTTCAAGTACTTAAAAGCTGGTGACTAGCTTCTGAGTTAATCCCTCTGAAAGTACTTCTGCCTCACAGAACCATATTCATTTCTTATTTCCTTTCTCCCACATATGCTACTTTAATCCCCCTCCCCAACAACATCCCTCTACATTCTAAAATAGATTTACACAGCTAATGTTTACAATTTACCCCCCTGAAGGTAAGAATCAGAAAGAGTCTGAGTTGCCTTCTGCTTTTTGTGGTAATCTATTTTTCAGAAACATATAATTTCGTCTATTTTAAAAGATTCTATTTTGGGACACAAATTTCAGGTTTATGCTTTTGGGGTGAATGTACTATATGAGGGGACTTCAGAAAGTTTGTGGAAAATTCCATTATCTTGTAATCCAAAATTTCCATGACTTTTTGAATCTCCCTCGTATACAGTTAATTTTTATTATCATAAACTCTCTTATTACTAAAGTTAAGAACAAATTTAAAATTTAACTTTTTGACTACTTTATGAAACCTTGATATGGGATATTGGGAAGGTAAATTTTATTATTTGTAATAACATCCAAATGTATATGAGGTTTTTAGATTGTAACAAAAGTAAAAAGTGTGATAAGAAGGGAAAAACAACAATTCTAATTCATTTATGTTTGTAGAAACTGTGATACTTCTTCCTTTCCCTCCCCTTAATTTTCCTTTGGACTAGCTCAAACACACTGGAATCAGATTACTGTTTACTGAAATATAAATTATCGCAGAATTAGAAATTTAATAAAAATCTAAAAAAATCAAAATTTCTACTGTAATGAATATACTTATTTTAGGATAGAATGGCACAAACCATCAATATATAACCAAGTTTTCACCTTGTTTCCATCGGGCCCTGGGGGTCCAGAAGGACCACGGCTTCCAATAGGACCCGTAGGACCAGCAGCACCACTCTGGCCTGGAGGACCACGCTCTCCCTGAAATAAAGGGGTTGGAAGGAATGTTACAACATTCATTACTTTCAGGGATATCATCTTACACACCAGAGTTCATACTTGTTAAGGATTTGAGCCTGGTTCTGCTACCTAGTAGCAAATTATATTTTCTTTTTTTGTTGTTTCAATTTTTTTGTTTCTAATTCCAACACTTATAAAATGAAGGAATAGGATAAAACAATCTCTAATATCTTATTCAGCTCTAATGTTCTGTGATTGCAACTCCAAGTTTTTACTTCCATAGTATATAATATTCAAACTTTATATCCATTTCCTTTTTTTGTCCTTTACTGTGATAGATCTATGTAAGGATAAACACAGATGTCAGTTATGTGCAGTATTCAAAGCGAAAGACTTTTAGCGAATAGCAATGCCATGTATAGATAAGATTAGTATTCTTATATCTATGTCCCCTTTCTTGACAATCACATACAATAATGATGTAACATACGATTCAAGAATATGCATGTATATTCAAGAGCATACATGTGTCTATATGTGTGTGTATAGGCTGCTGTTCCTCTCTCTCTACATATATATCCAAATTTGCATCTAAGTATCACTATGACAAAGGAGTTCAAGATCAGCAGTTCGAAACTACCAGCAGTTCCGCAGGGGAAAGATGAGGCTCTCAGCTCCCGTAATGATTTACAGCCTCAGAAACCCTATGAAGGGTCGCTAAGAGTCCAGATTGACTCCACGGCACATAACCAACCAACCAAATCGTTATGACATAGCATTCTATGGCACAGAACACTTATCACATTGGTCCGTATGGCAACTGGACCTCATTGTATACAGTTTGGCTCTATGATCCAAACCCCCACAACCAAACCCATTACTGTAGAGTCGATTCCAACTCCTAGCAACCCTATAGGACAGAGCAGAACTCCAAGCCACAGCATTTCCAAGGCTGCAATCTTTATGGAAGCAGACTGCTACATCTTTCTTCTGTGGAGCATCTGGTGTGTTTGAACTACTAACCTTGTGATTAGCAGCCAAGTGCTTTAACCATGATGCCACCAGGACTCCTTTGATTCTCTGATAATGACACTAAATTTGTTTGGACTTCACAGATCTATGAAACTAGTAATATACAGGAATACTTTAGGGTGAAACTAGTCATTCTAGATATTCTAATGATTACAAACAAAATAAATAAATTTATTGTATTTTTCTTTATAAAGTCAAACTTATGATTTCAGCTTTAGACTATGAATAGGAGTGTTACAAAAATTGACTTTTGATCACTTTTGTAAACACAGGAGGCTTCAAAATGTTAAAGGAAAATGGAATTAAAAGATAATGGAATTTTCTTATGAACTTTTTGAAGCCCCCTATACATCATACATGTCTTTATAAATCAGTGAAAAATCACACACATTTACATTTTGTATAAACATGCTATTTTTATAATGGGAAATATGAACAATTAAATAAATATGTTCATTATCAACTTGGAGTCCTGGTGTGTCGCCATAGGATAAGCACTAGACCTCAAGGTTGGTTTGAGCCACAAGGTCGATGGTTCAAACTCACCAGCTGCTCCTCGGAAATCCTATACAGGCTCGCTATGAGTCAGAACCAACTCGACATCACTTAACAACAATAATTAACAATTATCAATTTAGAAATCTAACACTTTCCAGAGATTACGTTTTGGTAACAGAAGAGTATCAGTGATTTAGTGCTGTATACTTTGTGGCTTTGAGGAGAAAGAGCTACGTCTTTTAAAACTACATAGCCAGAAGTTTCTGGAAGTTAAATAGCACTTACTCTTGGACCAGCAGGACCAGGGAGACCAAATTCACCATGCAGACCCTAGGCAAAACATGAGAATAAATTAAGTGTGGACTCACTTAGCTCATATATTTAAAAACATTTTCAAAGAGTGAAACAGAACTGGGGAGGTTTTCCTACATGAGTTCATAAGTCTGCTGGTTCTTAAGAGCAAGAGAACTTTCAGTTGTGTATGCAGACACAAAAAGGGAGAATCCCACTGATCATAGAGGTATACGTACTCCAGACCTACTATCAGCAGATTTAAGTTTACTCTTATTTAGTTTAGAGCTTTTTAAAAAGTTGGTAATATGATAAATCATAATAAATAATATCAGACATTGTGTATTTTAAAACCATATAACAGAATGCCTTCTTAATAGAAATGATCATATTCTGCACATTACCTAGCTAATTGTATACCCAAGTGTATCTCCTTTATTACTGAGCAGCTGTCTCCTTAATGTGCCCCACTGTTGACAAAGGAGACCAGGCCGCAGCATGGAACTGAACTGAGGCACATTCATCACAATTATAGAGAAAATGACTCAAAGCTCTTGCTCTGATTGTGGAATAGCAGAGTCATGTCTGAATGCCAAGAAAAACATGAAAAGAAAATTTCAGGCTCTAGTGATGGAAAACCGGTACATTTTCTTATTTTCTATGGGGAGAGAAATAATCTGTGTTTTAATATTACTAAGAACAATACAAAAAGTAAAGACATTAAATAGGCTTTAATTTCATAATGTGGTATGTTTCATTCAATCTTAAAACCAAGTGGTCTGACATGAAATAAGTAACTTGGCTCATTTTTTTCATAGCTCCAACATATGTAGAACACTATCATTAACAGAAGAAACATGAAATTCCCCTTTGTAAGTTTAATATCACTCCCAGAGGGTATCACACAAGGGGAAAATGTGAAGTTCTGGTGAACTAACTATCACTTGTTTTACTCACTCTTTCTCCTGGTTTGCCAACTTCACCAGTTGTTCCTGCTGGGCCAGGCAGACCCTAGGTGAAAGAAATATAAATCATAACCTTATGGCTATATTCAGAGAACCGATTAATAATTAGGTTTGGGGAAGAACTATCTAATATCAACATAATCATTATTTTGAGTAACTAAGGCATTATACAAAAGTTTGCACTGAAAACAAAAGACATGCTTAGTTTTTCAGTTCTGAGTTTATGTCCTGCATGGTGCAGGGGAGCCTGGGATTGTGATTTCCAGATGGACAGTCTGACTCAGGACATTATTTGACTTACCTGGAAACCAGGAGGTCCAGCAGGACCCTGTTCACCCTTTCCACCTTGGACACCCTGAAAGTAACAGGCAAAGAAGTATAAATAGGGACATAGGCACTATTGCTTCTACGTATGTAACTTTTGGACTGGAAAAACGTTTGGACTAAGGAACTTGATACATTCTAGTGCAGAAAAGAACAGGATAAGGAGAAATACTCACTTGTTGTCCAGGAGGTCCCTGAGCACCATTGTTTCCATCAGGACCTGGAGCACCCTAAAATATTTAACAAAGTCTCATGGTTACCTGGGAGCCAGACAGTTGAAGACATCTCAAAGCCTCAGGCATTACTTCCTTAAAATAAGCTTGTCATTTTAGCAAGAACTCATTGTGGGTTCCCTGTCAAGGACCAAATATTGTCCACTAAATGGAGGGCAATTTCTAAAACCCAAAGAATGATACTCTTTTAATCATGAGATGGGTAATTAAAAACAAGTGCTTCTGTAAATATTATCAACATTCTGTCTTATGAAAGTATATCTATTTTGTTGTTGTTTGTTTAAAGATATTTTGTGGTGGTAAAAAGACCCTTGGTCTAGGAAAGAAAGCGATGGAGTTATACCAGATGGCCTCAACTTATGTGTATTTCTTAGGTAAGAATTATGAGAATAAATACAGAAGACAGCACCTACCCGAGGGCCAGCAAGACCAGCATGACCTTTTTCACCACTTTTTCCAGGATCACCCTATGATAAAGAAGCAAAAACTAATAATAAATTTACACACTTAATGTCAAATTAATCATGAAAATCTTGAACTGCTCATTTCTTGCTTGCTTTTTGTTTTCTTGTGATTCCTAGCCCTTGGGTTCTGTTATCTAAGGTATAACCTACTATCAGGTAAGCCCATATAAAATAAGGTAGATATTAAAATAAGGTAGAAATTATGCCATTGTCTGCAGAAGTTCACTATTCAGGAGACGCATTGTCAGCAGGTATAAAATGGTATGTTAGAGGTCAACTTTTAAGGTGATAAGAAGTCTACAATTTTCCTGCATTGCAAGAAACCCACCTCAAGACAGACTGGACTGCAGTCATAGGGAAGTATTAAGAGTATTGGTGAAATGAAGTAACAAAGAGAGAAGTTATAATGATTCTTACAGTGGGGCCTTTGGGTCCGGGGAATCCAATGTTACCAGGCTCTCCTCTTGCTCCAGCGGGACCAGTTGGGCCAGGCCTGCCATCAATACCAGGGAGACCCTGAAACCAGAATTTAGGGTTTACTCAACATCAACATGGCCTCACCATCTCAGGCTGTGGTGCTGTCTTGGGATGAAATAGGACCGTCTTATGAATACATAACACTTCTTGTACAAAGTGCTTATAAGCTGCGTATCCACCCAATTTTTAAAAATAGGATGTTGGCAGACACATAGTCAATTCAATCTCATCTGTACATAGTTTTCCTTTTTCCATGCCTTTGTCACCAGTTTCAATTTTCTCTGCCGTGTTTTTCTTTTTCCTTCTCTCCTTTCAGTCCTGCATTCATTTGGACTACATAATTACAATCCATTACTTTGCATTCCCAGATGATGTATGTGGCTGATATTTACTTTCAATGTATTCATGTATAAATAAGCCACATGAACTAGACTTGATAAGGGTGCAGTAAGTGTCCTTGAAAATATAATGGAAAATGAGCAGTACTTACTCCAAGACCTTCTTTACCAGCTGGGCCAGTATTTCCAGGGGAACCAGGAAGACCCTACAAGACAAATGAAGATGCTTTCATACAGGCATTTTAATTCACATGCTATAGGCTGAAATTAATTGAAAGAGCAGAAAAGCATCTTTCCCCCCCTTTTGTTTGTTATTTAGGATAAATCAGTAGGGATATTAGTCACTAGCTAGGAGGTGTGAAAAAGAGTCCCAAAATATGTATTTCTAGTATTTTGTGTGTGCCTTCTATTATATTGGATTTTAGCACAAGATCTGTTTATAGATATCTCAAAAACTGTTAAGCAACATACTCTATGGGCCAAATGTATTATGTTATTTACCCCATAATACAAAAACTAATACACTTCTAATAAATAATTTTCAAAGTGAATTTTTATTGCTATGTCTTGGTGTCTATATTACTTGTTTATGATGCAATTACAGTTGATATTCATCCATAAGAAATAATGGAAGCAAAAAAATTACTCTATTGCTATGGAATGGAGTGTCTACAGATCTAAAGGTCATTTCTCCATAGCTTGTGTGATGCTGAATACATTATAGCACTTTCTGATTGTTGGAAAAATGATTTCGCTTATGAATCTAATAAACTAATAATGTATAGTCCTAATACATTTCATGAACACCTTATATAAAGTTCACAAATTATGATGAAAGATTCATGCTGACAGGAGAGCCACCCTAATTTGGATATATTAAAATAGACCTATTCTTCTGAAAACCTCATAGCCATTGAATCATCAGTAATAGAAAATTTATGAAGTAAGCAAATACATAAATATATCTACTGAGCTTTGATAAAGTTAAAATTTTAAATGTAGCCATTAGCAAGCCCACTAATAAATTTACCTTTTGATGTTTTTAAAATTATCTTCAAATATTAACCAGCTCTTTAAAAAAAGGAAACAATGTCAGATGGCACTTGCTCAGAATCATCTGCAACTTACTCGGGGTCCCATGAGACCAGGCTCCCCAGGGCGACCAGAATCTCCACTGGGGCCTCGGACACCAGCAGGGCCACTTGCACCACGGTTACCAGGAGGGCCCTATTGACACAAGGAAGGGGTGAGGGTGCTGAAGCTAGTAACACACCCACCACCACAAGGATCAAGTTCCTTTTTGGGAAATGAGTGATGGATAATTTACCATGACACCAGCTCTCCCATCAGCTCCTGGGAGACCACGAGAACCAGGACTGCCCTGTAAGAAAGGACACAACACAACTAAGAATTACAGAACACCCTTGACTCACATACGGCAGAGTTTATTAAAACACGGCAAGCATGTAATCAATCTTGTTCCCTAAGGGGTCTCTGTAAGGAATAAAGAAAAGTACTTCACCCAAATCCCAGAGGAATGTGTGGATGAGCATTCTGCAAAAGCAGGTCATGCTGTTTCCAGACCAATTTTATAACATACCAAACTGACAGTTACTGATTTAATCGAGCAGATGGGAAGCAGATGGTTCCTTAGTCTAGAAAAGACACTTAGTAATTCTGAGCAATTCCCAGTGAAGGGGTTCCATCATCTGCTTCTGTTGTATCTGGGGTTTCAGAAATGTTTGGAACATACCCTCAGTCCAGGAGGTCCTGCAGGGCCAGCGGATCCCGCTTCACCATTGGAACCTCTCTTTCCTTCTTCACCACTGGGCCCAGGAGGACCTTGGGGACCAGCAGAACCCTGTTTAATGAAAAAACAAAAACAAAGGGGAAGTAAAAGTCATTAATTTTAATACATCTCCAACTAAACAAACGGTTAAGAAATAATAACTCCATAAAATTGTGGTTACAGAACTACTTACAGGTTCACCCTTGTTGCCGCTCTCTCCTTTGGAACCAGCTGGACCAGGCTCACCCTAGGATCCAAAACAAAGTAGTGCTCAAGGGACAAATATTTGTCAAAACTCTCTGGCAGACAAGTATCTTGGTGATGTTGATAGATCAAAGTAGAGAGAAACTCAAGTTCTACAATTAACATGTCAGTTACTATTTAAATGATTTACTGGAGGATGGTCTTGAATGAAAGGACAACACTGATATTGTAGAACTTTGCATCGTTGACCTCTGGACAACACTCTAAGATATAGCATGAGGAATATGTCTGTGTGCGTGGGTGAGAGGCAAGTGTATCATGTACAGTTGTAAAAGAAATACAAAATAAAAACACAAAAGAAAAATACACATCAAAACCAGAGGAAGTCTAGATGGTGATAAGATGACAGCAGAGGTGGTATTTCAGGATGACGAGAGCCACAGCCATGAACACTTACAACAAGTCCTCTGGCACCAGCGGCACCAGCCGCACCAACAGGGCCAGGAATCCCACGGGGTCCAGGGAGACCAGGTGCCCCAGCAACACCAGGCAGGCCCTGTGAAGAAAAAGATGCATCCATCATTATGCAACCTGGGACCAAGGCAGCTCTCCCATAAATGTCTTTAAAACCACAGCAGCACATTTCAGCAGCCCCATATACTCACAGCGGCACCTTTAGCACCAGCAAGACCATTGGCTCCAGGGTTACCCTGTGAGGAAAAGAAGAGGAAAGAAATGAACCGACAGAAGTATTTCTGTTCTCTGACCTCGACTTCATATTCTTTTCTTTTTTCTTTGGCTTTCTTCTACTTAACGAGGTTTTAAGGATGTAACAGCTACTTACAGGAGGTCCAACGGGACCAGAAACACCTGGAAGACCAACTTCACCACGAGGGCCCGCAGGACCAGAAGGACCAGGGTTACCAACAGGTCCAAGTTCACCCTAAATGAGGAAATGACACAGAGGAATCACCCAATAAATAGTGAAATAGCTTATATCTGTTTTTAGGATATCCTGTCTTAGGAAAAACCTTTAGGATTGCAGTCAAACCTTCCTCTGGCTTGGTGCCACAAGATCTGGGCTTGATTTCCTGCTTTCCTAGTCTGGTTCTACCATTGTGGGTACCACTGCTCTACTCAAGTTTCTGGAATGCATATGAGATAGGCAGAGACTCTGAGGCTCTGTCAGTCTTGACTAGTTTGAACTTAACGACAATATCTCTATCTACCGGGAGCTCACAGAGCGCAAGTGCAGACAGATGGTCTACACCAAGCGGAGTGTGTGACATTGGTTATTCTAGACCCACTTTTGAAGAGAGGGACTAGTGAAGGTGACTCTTCTGTAATTATTTCTCTATCTACAAGCACAAATGCAATAGTTCACATCATAATAAGACATTTACCAAAGGTAGTGACAATGGTCACCAGTGTCTTTACCTTGGGACCAGGAGCACCAGGGAAGCCTGGAGGGCCAGCAGAGCCAATGGGACCCTGAAACCAAAGGAGAAGGTGGTAAGACATTTTCCCCCCACAAATTAAGAACAACAACAAGGAACTGAAATGGTTTAGAGTGCCCTGGTCTTATTAAATATTGGCAAAGAGAAAACTGGCAGTTTTGTTACTAGGATTCTATCAAAAGCAAGATACCCAGGGTATCAAAGATAGGGTAGATTTTACTTTATTTATCAATCAGAAACCCTGGTAGTGGAACTTATAAATGGAATATTTCATAAGACCTCATAGAACACTTGGTAAGATATTGAAAAGATGTATTTTGTGAGAAATTTATAAAGAGGATAGCTCCCATCCCATGCGTGCTCAACTTCTAAATTACCCAGTGCCAAGACTTACAGCAGGACCCACAGGACCCACACTTCCATCACTTCCACGGGCACCCTATATTACAAACAAAGGGGAAGAGTCAAAGGAATTAAATGGCAGTTACTAGGACATATTAAAAGGGATAAAAATGAGTGAAAATAGAAGCAACTTACAGCTGGACCAGAACCACCGACACGTCCTCTCTCACCAGGAAGCCCACGGGCTCCCTAGAAGCAGAAACATTTTCAATGAAATAAAAAGTCACAGACATCATTTGGTTTGTCCAATTTCCAATATGTACTAGAATCCACTAGAAATAAATAGGTCTCCTTCTAATTCCAACTAAAAGTAATGGATTTCAATTAAGTATGCAGAAGGCCATTAGAAAATATCAAAGAATACAATGCCAAGGGAAATGGTAATTAGTAAAATACATTAAAGAGGTTCCAGCTAGCAGAGTGTACACATTCTGCTTTTCAATAAAGTAATCAATACTTACTGTTTGACCTGGAGTTCCATTTTCACCAGGAGCACCAGGCTCACCCTACATGGAAAAGATGGATTGAAGTTTTTGTTCACTATATACATTGATTTTTTTTTTCTCCACTGTATTTTTTACCCTAATTATTACAATTTGAACTAGACATACATTCTGCAACATCTCTTATAGCTATAAACTGTTTATCAACTACACCAAATGCAAATAAAAATCTTTTATCAGCTAAAGTCTGAACTTTAACCTAGATAACACTAAATGGAAGCTGTGATTATTTGAGAGTTACTTCTCCGTCCCTAGTTTACCTCTCAGATTTTGCATATCATTTAGATGAAGCTTATGTGCTAGAAATGATACAAAAGCAGATGGCAAAGGGTGAATGTGCATTCAATATAACCACATATACCCTCTTTAAAATTATTTTGAACATTCAGCATTTTCACTTTTAAAAAACATGCATAAAAATCGGAAGTTTCATAGTATTCTGAACTATCATATTTACTGTCTATACTGCTTTACTGAGAAAACAACTGTGGTGGTGGTGGGGAGGCGGGGCAGCTTACACTATGGCACACATGAAAGAACTTCCTTCAGGACGATCTGATTTTGATATAGAAGAAACATGACTTGAGAGACCAATTTTTAAGGGTTCTTCATTTCTAGTGTTCTTTGGGAAGAGGCCCGGTTACAGCAGTCAGGAATTCTAGCCTGTCCTCTTCTAACTACAAGATGTGTGGTGTTGGGCAAGTCACTAGCCTTCTCCGAGCCTCCGTTTTCCTCATTTGCAAAGTGAAGGAGTTTCCAAAGCTCCTTACGGCTCTAACATTTTATGATGCTATGATTAGTAGTCTTCACTATTATATTAGGCTCCTGGGAGAATGAGTTTGACCTTATCCATTTGTGTGGCAGCTGGAAAGTTAGAACAGATTCTTCATATTCATGTTCATTTCTGGTCCCACTAGTATTCGCTACTCATTAATTTGTAATTACGTTGGTATTCACTTTAATATCACATTATCTCCTTAATAGGAAAGGGAACATTTTATAGTTGAAAATTCTGTCGTAGAAGAGCCTAGCCAAGAGATAACACACTTCTGAGACTTTAATTACCTAATTAAAAATGTGTGTGTGTGTGTGTGTGTGCACAGATAAATCACAGGAAAGAGGTTGAAGAGAGTATTGTGACATGAATGTACCTATCTATTTAGTGCATGGCAAAGGAGAGTTTATAGTTAAAAATAACACAGCATGTTCTAATTTACTTTTATTTTGGCTGCAGAGATTGATTGAAATCACAAAGGAGAAAAGTAAACAGAGGAAAAAAAAGATTGGTATTATTTTTAATGTCAATTGTTTAATAAACATTGAATTACACAAATGTTGTTAGTAATTGGCCCTTTGGCACAGAATTTCATAGTTCTCATTACTGAGAGATTGGCAGTGTAGAAGAGGATACTTTTAGAATACAGGTAGTTCTTAGCAAACATACACTTCTTTGGTGGTGTGGTGTGGGGCATTTACCTTGATACCTGGAGCACCAGGCTGTCCCTTCAGTCCATCCAGACCATTGTGTCCCTGAAAGGCAAATTCTTATTATTAACATGAAGTCCCACTGTAGTGCTTGGTCAAATCAAACACTTGTTAGCTTTGCAATCAATCTCTTCTGTGGTGGCTCTCATGGCTGCCCCAGTGTAAGAAGTTCCAGCCTTCTAACTCTAGGTGAGCTAGATTCAGTTGTCCTAGATAAATTCTTATCTTTCCTGCTCTCAGAAGAAGGTAAGGATATAAGACATCTTTTGCATCCCGTCTACTTTTATCAGATTTCAGTTAGAAGGCAGTTGCCAACAAGTCACATGCATTCTATACAGCTTTCTCAGAGGTGATGCTTTTGATGGTAGCTCTGGACAAAATGGAAAACTGTTCCCTATTTTACTTTCAAACAACCTAGTCTTTCACTAACTCTAAGAATTTGAAAGCAAGTATGCATTATCCAGAAGTTTTAGTTGAGTACCCCCACCTCCCAAATAACCAGCATTGTCTCTTGTTTTGATAAAAAAATGTGCTTACTCGAATGCCCTTGAAGCCAGGCAGTCCAGGGGTTCCAGGGAAACCACGAGCACCCTTAGAAAGAAACAAAAGATGAATAACGCTTTTCTTATGAATGAAAAGACTGCTTCCCTCTAAAGATTTTCTTATCATAGTTAATTCTGGAATAAAAACTTAATGTATTTTTCAGCACAGAGGAACTTAATGCTCTCATGTAAGTAACTAAACGATCATGGTATCGTGGTGGTGGTTATGTGTCGTGGAGTCGGTTCCGACTCATAGCGACCCTGAACAGGGTTTCCAAGGCTGTTGGAATCTTTACAGGAGCAGAAAGCCTCATCTTCCTCCCATGGAGCAGCTGGTAGTTTCAAACTGCTGACTTTGCGGTTCACAGCCTGATTCGTAACCACTACGCTACCAGAGCTCCTTAAATTTTGGTATCGTAGAAAACATAATTTAATAGCTTATAGGAGTTTTGGTGTGGCGCTGTGGGTTAATGCACTGGATGGCAATGTTGGTTTAACCTAAAGGTTGGCAGTTCAAGCTCAACAGCTGCTCCTTGGAAACCCTATACAGGGTCACTATGGGTCAGAATTGACTTGACGGCACTTAACAACAACAAGCAGTATGCATGCTGTGGTTAATATTACGTTATTTGCAGTAGTAAAAGACACATGCATACTTTACTAGGCTCCTTGGACTTATGAAACACCATCAATATGTGTGATATTCATGTTGTCATGTAGACTGATTCTAGTTTTAGAGACTATCTCTAGCTGCAAACCCCCTGATGACTGGACCATATAAAGTCTCTTTAAAATGATAAAAGTCTCACCTGTGGTCCAACCACTCCTCTCTCACCAGGTCGTCCAGGTTTTCCAGGGTGACCCTAAAACATGAAAGCATTGTAGGATAAACCTTTTCTTCATAAACTATCTGATAAAAGTGAGGCATCTTGGTTTTTACAATATGGGACAAAGCACCACATAAAAATGTAGATCCCAATATATAGTTAATTTACATTAATAGTGCCTCTAATTAATATTTAATTACAACAATACTTTCCATATGGGGAAAGTTATGCCAAGCTTATTCAGCTTTTGGCAAGATCCTTAATTTGAATCTAAAGATTCTACGGCAGGAATATTTAAATAGCATTTTGGAAGGGCTTAGAAATAAATACTTACATCCTCACCAGCCTTGCCAGGAGGGCCAGCTGGACCACGAGAACCTGCAGGACCCTAAAGAAATGGGAGACCCATCATTTGGTTAAGGCAGTGTTAATAAGCATTCTTAAAAAATATTTATCACAAATGGAAAACAATATACTCACAGTCTGACCAGGTTCACCAGGCTCACCAACAGCTCCACTGAAACCTGGAGGACCCTGATAGAAGGAAAAATCACATATAGACATAAAACATCATACTTCAAGCCCTTACTTAATTATATTTGTTTTGTAGCAGGATACAAGCCTTTGATACTTACAGGGGGTCCAACTGCACCTGGAGGGCCTCTAGGTCCCATCAAACCCTGTAAACAGGACAGACATAGTTAACAGTGACATGCTGTCATGGTTTTGGTTACGGTCAGTAGGACTAGTTTAGCAGTACCATAGACATTTTGTGATGGACAATCGTATGGACATGCTTTGGTTTTATTTTATACTTTTTGTCCCTCCCAAGAAAGTATTCAAGGACGCAACTTGCCTCCCTGCTTTCTTTCCCTTTGCTTCTCTTTCTTGCCTAACTCAGATCAGTAGAACTCACTGTGAACTGGATGGGGGTTAGTCACAGGTTCCTTTTCCCTAAAGTCGTGTCCAATTGAGGCTATTGAGATGGCTCTAATGCAAAGAAGTGAATCTCTGTTTTTGCACAAGTATAGAATATGCACCTGCCTTCCATACAGTTGATAAAGTATTTCTATTTGGATTCCCTTGTTCATACGGCATCTCCCCATGCCATGTTTAGCTGAGAAATTGATACTTTTATTGCCACAAGGGGAATAAATAGAAAAGGATCAAAAGTCTTTCTTAATGTTTAAATGGAAGTTTGTTATAACCTTATAGCTCCTTTAAAGGCTACTGGTGACTAGGGAAAATGTCAAACAAAAACTAACGTAATGAGAGAGGAAGGGAAAACAAAAAATTACTGAACCAGCACCCTAGAAGAGTGTATTATATGAAATTATAGTAAAAAAAACGGCAGCAGACTGTTTTGTTTTCCTTTTTGTTCTTCATTCTGTACTATACAAGTAAAGTAAAACAGAGAGTACTTGTTAGTGTTCTTAATACACATTCTTGACTCCCGTTTGCCATAATAACCTTCCCTTTATGTTAACTCATTTTGTGGCAGTCTGTCCCTGTCATGCTGAAAATGTTTCATTTACAAATCTGGACTAACTTGTTCATGATACATCAACCACGGGAACTCTCTAATCAGGGTTGTCCCACTGCATTAATGCATATATTGAAATAACATGAATTTTATCTAATAACCACATCATCTTAATTACAAATTTTATTTATTTGGTTTTAGAAATGGCCTCACCATTAAAAGAAACTGTCACTTTTCAAGTAAAATAATAATTTTTAGGTATACATTAAAAATAATTTTCTTTGTCACCATACATTTTAAATTGTATTTATTAATTTTCCCATGTGTCTGCTCAATTTCATTTACCTAAGAGGTAGTTTATTTTGTGGAGGCTATAAGAACAGAAGATAATGCATTAATATAGAGAAGAACCCTGTGGGGTTTTATATTGATTTTCCACCATGGAAAATTATTTTAATATTTTACTGTAGCCAATCTTTTCTGTTTGTGAAACACATATCTGTTGATTACACATGTGTGTGGGTATGCAAACAAACTATATTTCATGGATATTTAGTAGCATAATACTCTGCTTTATGCTCCCCAGGGAGATGTAGCAAAGTCAGGGGAATTTAAAATGCATATTCATTTTCTAAGCTTATATAGGCAGTTATTTTTTAAATTAATCAGCGTTTTACTTTTCCCCCTGTTGCTTCTATTTCAGCCATAGTTACTGCTTTAAGTCTGACTAACGTCCAGAAATGGCTAACTGCAAATGTCTAATATGAACAAAGCCAAGGGGAAAAAAAGGAAGACAACCCAAAATGACCCAAACTCTACTTCATTTCAGGTATGTTGTTGTTATTGGTTATGTGCCGTGGAGTGGTTCTGAATTATAACGACCTTGAACAGGGTTTCTGAGGCTGTATATCTTTATGGGAGCAGAAAGCCTCATATATAAACATCTTAACAGAAAAAAAATCAGTAATTTGAAAAACATCAATTAAAGGTACGTTATTTCTCAAATGAGAATTTTTAGTTACAGAAATGATCATCTCGCTCTTTAGCATACTTATTAGCTTATTGAGTGCCATTAGTTCCAGAAAAAAAAAAAGTTTTATTTTTAAGACAGAGTACTGAATGCATTGTCGAGGTAAAAATAATAATTCAAAGACTTTGTCTAAACCACTGTGTGGGTATGAATCTATAGTGTTTAATCAACCTAATGCTTTTATCTTTAATAGTTTGCCCCCTCTGTTTCACATATATTGGTATACATTTTACATGCTCATATGACTTTTTTCCCTTAACATACCCATTAATGCTTATTATAAGATTTACTTCCTTGGACATCATTCCATCATACTAGCAGCAAAGTTATAGAGGGACAATTAGACATCATTGTCATAATCATCTTGGGATCTTTTCTAAATGTTTCTCAGATTATGGGCTATATTGCTGAATCTTTCTGCAGAATGATATAAGTGCTATATATTACGCAGGTTTTGTTATTATATATTTATTTTAAATTAATAGACTAAAAACAGAATTCTTATTTAAATAGATAAAATGAAACATTTCCTATATTGTTGAGAGTGGGTTAGAATCAATCACATTCATTGCTATATTTCAAATGCACAATACATGTTGGAGCCCACTAAATTAGGCATTAATTCCTATTTGTCAAATAAATGAATGTTTTACTCAAGGACTAACTACATGAGCCTCCATGTCAAATATCCAGAAACCTTGCCTAGTGGTTAATGCTAGTTCTATAAATTAACCACCTGAATGCCTTTGGGAAAAGGGGCTAAACACTGCTTATGAAATTAACAGGCTGATGTACAACATATTGATCCTGCCAAACAAGTTAATAGAACTTAATAGTTATGTATTTAAAGGTTGTTTAAAATTCTACACAGTGCTAAAGGATGTAAACACAACTGAGCTGTCACTGTTGTAAATGAAATTCACTTGTCTAAGTTATGGTTAAGGTCAGCGGTTCGAAACTACCAGCCGCTCCGCGGGAGAAAGATGAGGCTTTCTACTCCCGTAAGGATTTACACCCTCGGAAACCCTGTACAGGGTCGCTATGGGTCGGAACCGACTCGACGGCACTTAACAACAACAACAACAAGTTATGGTTACTAGAAGCTATACCTAAGTCTATCTCTTGGACATAAATACCCGATTTAAATATAAACAACTCATGAGGCAAGTTGAACATCTAACTGCTATAGTTTTTGAATACAAAAAGAGTTGCTCCTTTTATCTCTTCTCAGTTTTTAGGGTTAACCCATGCAGTTAATTAACAGCGATATAAAATTAAACAGACTGCATTCTCTATTCAATATATTCTTTGGCTAAGATAACAAGATATGAGCATACCATTGGTCCAGGGCCAAGTCCAACACCTTTTCCGTCATACTGAGCAGCAAAGTTCTAGAGGGAGAAAAAAAAAAAAAAGAACAAACCACAACTTAGTTACCAACTCAGAAGTACTTTATTTTCTCATTCTATTTGTAACAATATGTTGTAGTTGTCTAAAAGGGAGGCATGTTTTGATGTATGGGTTTACGGTTATGAATTTGGAACTATTTATTGAATCAAATTCCTACAAAGTCAGGAGAAAACACAAATTCAAATCTTACTCTACACTCAGTTTGAAGTGGAAGCTTTCCTACCTTATTTTTCAAAGCTTTCTTCTCACCTGTTACTCTGCATCTTTACACCTCACTCTCTACCTCCACATTGCAGAGAGGAACTTTCTAAACTTTAAAAGTCAAATGAAAGCCCCTTGTAAAGTAAGCAGCAGTCAAGAGGATGACCTTACATTTCCACCTGTTGTCCGTCTCCTCCAGGGCCTCACAAAATAACAGCTAGCAGTCCAATGCATAACCCACTTTGCTACCAGGCCTCTTTACAAAATGACTAGGGGATATTTTTTTTTTAAAACCTGGAGTTTACAAAAGAATATAAAGAGCTTTCACATTTAGAGGAAAATTAAAATGCCCTTTGGAAGATTAAGCTTAGGAAAAAAAGTAAAAGTAGTTCACGGTAATAACTTTACTGCTAAAACTCTCTTGTAGTGGTAGATCTATTAAAGAAGGTGCTTTTTAATGTACTCAGCAGACGCAATCATAATAAGATCTTTGATGGAGAAAGGTCTTATTTTACTGGCATACGGTTGAATATTAGAATCAAGTTTCTGATTCATAGAGCTAACCAATTAAGCAAATATGTTTTCCTTCCTGCAATGAGGCCATTTGGCACTCATACTATTGTTAAAGACATAAAGCTAAAAGAAGATATTAATGAAAAAAGGAAATGTACTTTTCTCAAATTAGTTTCAAGAAAATTAAACCTAAATTTGAATGTTGGTTCAGCAGACTTCAAGCCAAGGAGAATAAAACGATAGGGGTGTTTGCAAAATTGCTTAAGATCAGGGATTTCACTAATTCAATCTAATCAAACTCTTTAATAATGCAACAGTTCTTATTTGTGTCCTACTGATAAAAGATATTAAATCCCCAAATTAAATAATGATTGTCAAGGCTGCAGCTACCTCCAATGAACACAAAGACCAGTCCTGTAATTGACAATGCTCACAAAGAAAATGGGCAAACCAGACCCTTAAATAAAGAAACCAAAGAAATGAAATAAAATATACTAATTTCTAAATAGCAGATTTCTTCTTTAATTGTTATAAGAAAATTCCACAATGATCCTTCTTCCAATAGAAATTTAAGAAACTAAAAGTTAGCAAAAAGTGAACAATATTTAAGAAACCTTACCCCGCCAAGACCAGGGGGTCCAGGAGGACCAGGTGGGCCAGGGGGGCCTGGGATTCCATCATCACCATCTTTGCCTGGTGGGCCTACTGGACCCTGTTATATGAAAAAGGAATAATTAGATTCAGGCTAGACAGGCCCTATAGAAACATGGACAAGGAAAAGGTAAAGGTAACCTAAGAATGCTAAAGGTATTATCAATTGTTCAGACCTTTCAATGAGGCAAGAAGGCTGAAAATGATTCAGATTAATTTATGACATGGGTCTATTTTAGGAGGATTAGCAACTGATGTCAGAATAAGACACATTCTTCTTGAGGAGTTTCTCAGCTATTGAGTATTAATTCATAATGGAGCTTCAGTATTCAAATAAAAATCAAAATTATAGATAACATTTATGATTCTGTGAATTCTGTATGTTTAACTGCAGGGTAGTGTACCATGTTATTAATTGCCAGTTTCAGACTTTGATGAGAGCGTATTAAACTATTTTGGTATATTATGCATAAATAGCAAAATCATTGACATGATAATTAATAAAATCATTCTATTATAAGGTTAGAAAATAGTGCAGATTTCCTACCATTAACACTATTTGTATTATTAAAAGAATTCAGCAACATAATTCTACCTCTACTAAATTACTTGAGTGTAATACAGATAAGGAATACATATACTACATACTTCCCAATGAATAAGCTGTGGCTGGTGTTGTGTGTTGTTGTATTGACCTTATAGGCTAGGGTAGTGCAGACCTATCGGGGTTCCAAAGCTGTACTCTTTATGCAAACAGATGGCCATGTCCTTATCCCTTGGAGCAGCTAGTGGGCTTGAACCACTAACCTTTCAAGCTAGTAGCTGAGTGCTTAACCACTGCACCACCAGGACTCCTCCCACTATGCACAGATGCAGGTATTTAAAAACAGGCAAAAGTGCTATACAATGCAGATCCATCTACTTATAAATGTTAAGTGGTCACAGCAGAGATAAATATCATTATGTTATATATAACAACTATAAAAGCATAATCTAAATACTATAAGTAAAAATAAAACGTAAGCCTGATTTGTTTATTAATTTAGACAAATAAACATGTTGTTGATGACTGTTTTATTATTATTTTCAAGCTATATAAAAAATCTTATCTCAATTGCAAACAAAATGTCAAAAAGATAAAGATTATGTAGTGATAAGTAGATATATTTTCATTATATGTGTGCATATGTGTTAGGCGGGTCAAGTCAAAACCAAAATGTGACTAGATCATGCACAGAACATGACTGTTCTGTAACAGTTTCTTTTCTAAAGAAAAATCTTGTCCTAAGAAGAATATTGATGATCTATAACAATGTTCATTCTGTTTAAAAGGTGGTGCACTATCTGGATACAAAATATTCTTATAAAATAGTCAGTCTCCTATAGTTTCTAGTATGTTGTTATTCAAATTTGGGTCAAAGTTCTTAGGTACACACCTTGTCTCCACGTGGTCCTCTATCTCCGGTTGGGCCCTATAACAAAGATGTAAGTGGTACAGTAAGAATGTTTAAACGATTTCTAGTGAACAAACAAACCATTCCTGATAGTAATGGTCAGGCGTGATCTAAACACAACGTTCAACCACAGTGTTATTAGATGTTGTTGTTGTTAAGTGTCATTGAGTTCGTTCCAATTTGTAGTGATCCCACATGGGGTTTCCAAGGAGCAACTGGTGGGTTTGAACTGCCAACTTTGTGCTTACCAGTTCAGTGCTTATTTTACAGCACCACACCAGGATGCCATGTTACTACATGTTGGTGGCTATGTGCCGTGGAGTCAGTTCCACTCATGGAGACCCTGGACAGGGTTTCTGAAGCTGTAAATCTTTACAGGAGCAGAAAGCCTCCTCTTTCTCCTGTGGAGCAGCTGGTAGTTTCGAACTGCTGACCTTGCAGTTTGAAGCCCGATTCGTAACCACTATGCTACCAGAGCTCTGTCATAGGACCCTATTAAAAATGGCACAAAACACTAGCTGGCAGTATATTGTTTCCATTGTAATTGTATGTATTTTTAAAATACTGGAAGCTGCTAGAACCTGCAGTCATTAGGCCTAATACTTTAGAGATAAGAATGACAATTTTGTTACATATATAACAGAATGTTTATATAATTAAAACCCTTTTCTAAAAAGCTTCTTTTACTACCTTTAATGAACATAAATTTCAGCCCATTTTCAGAGTAAAACCAAATCTTTCTCCCTCTTAGTATGTATGTCACTAGTTTACGGGATATAGATGTAGTTAGAAGTGGTTCTGCTGTGCATAGGTTGCTATGGGTCGGTACCGACTCATTGGCACCTAACAACAACAACAAGAAGAAGTGGTTCTGGGAGATGATAAAATATCATCTTAAACATCAAAATTACTTTTCATTAGGGTCTGCTCTTATTTTAGTTTGGGCATAACATTGACAAATATTCGTCTTTTATAATCTCTTATAACTTTAAATTAAAAGGCATTTCTGATACTTTCAAATTACTCAATGTATATGAAAAAAGTATTGAACTCTTACCTTTCTTGCAGTTGCCTAGAAAAGAATAAATAAAAGATTATTATGAGGAAAAAAAAAATATATATGTGGGGGTTTCAAAAGTTCAAGGAGAAATGGAAAAAAAGATAATGGAATTTTTCCATGCACTTTTTATAATTACATATGTATATACATATAATACATACCTTTCTTTTCTGTGTAGTATATATTGCATTTATTATTATCTTAATATAATATTTCAAAGTAAAAATAAAAATTTGGCAATAAATTAAATATGTTATGTATAGAACAGAATATATATACTTATCTGGAATTATGCTTCCAATTCAAATGATGAACTAAGAAGTTCCAATAAAGTTACAAATTCTCTAGCTCAGAAAAGTGTTTTGCTTTGTAGTGTTGTTGTTAGGTCCCATGAAGTCTGTTTGATTCACAGTGACCCTATATACTTTTCTTAAGGTTTTCAGTGGCTGCTTAGTTCAGAAGTAATCTGCCTCTCCTTCTTCCCATGACTTGTAGTAACTGATGCTAAAATTCAAACTTCCTCTGGAATTACTCTCTAGTTCTGTGCTTCTTATGAAGGTAGTCTTATTCGATAGCCCCACCCATTTTAGAAATTGGGGTGGTTACCTTCTGAGGCAGTCAAAAGGATTTGCAGCATCATGACACTTCCTGATTTTCTTGCAAATCGAGATTGGTTAATACCAATTCATCTCTGATTTTCCACAGAGAAGACATTACTGGGACCAAAAAGATTAAAAAAAAAAAAATCTATGTATGTATATACTGATATATACATATATTTAAAAATAATTTTACTCACCTCTTGTAAAGCTGTAGAGAAAAGGGAAAAGTAGAAAATAATTATTAAAGATTGCAGTAATATTTCATTGATCAGTAGCAGTAATTAACAGGTACATACACTAGTTCATACTATTGATTTACTAATTAAAGGGCCAAGCATATTTTTTATTAAGACTCTTCTAATGATTTGGAAATTATGCAGGTCAAAAGTATGTCAGGGAACAGCAGGGTGATTTGTTTGCAATATTAATATGTAAATATATTTGAATTAAATTGTTAATTATTTACTATTTTATAAATGCTTTGAAATATTAATGTGTCTGAAGGATATTGCTAATGCTTAGTAATTAAGCTGGTAAATTGCACAGATAAATTGCTGGATGTGACAGAAGACTAGTAGATTGATGATGAAATAGTTTTTAATTTATGGTGTAGATCACTTTTAATACTTAAAAATCTAAAAAGGGGAACTTTTAGGAAAGCATGGCACCAAAAAAGTATAGTGAAGTTCCTTAGTACTTCAGCATTATTCTTAATGTGCCTTTCAAAAGGTATACTTTGCAAATTGTTAACTATGAAAATGAATTAATTCAGATACCTGAATTGTTGCTTTAAATTGACATATTGATATTAGGTAAAGTCATTTTACCAATAATTATCACTTTTGTTCCAGAGAAAGGATTTGCTCTGTATAAACAGAAAAAAGCTACTTTAAAGAATTTGAAAAATAATGGTAAAAAATCAGCTAAAGTAAATATATCTCCCCTTTGCCATAATTGCTATAAATCCTTCATGATTGAATACCTTTCCTACTATATAAAAATTACAGGTTAACAAGGGACACAAGTGTGGCCAGTCTTATAATAAGATCAATCTCCCCTAAAAATTGCTTTAATTGGGCAACCACGAAGTATGTCATTTAGAGTGAAAATATCTGTTGCAACAGTCCCAGTCCAGGAAAGTGAACAATATCCAGAGCTAGCATTTAGAGACAATTTATGAGAATTACTTTTAAATTAGAAAAATTATATGTTTACTTCATTGTATATATATCAGTTGTTGTTGTTAAGTGCCATTGAGTTGGTTCCGACCCTGTACAGGGTTTCCGAGGGTGTAAATCTTTACAGGAGTAGAAAGCCTCATCTTTCTCCCACGGAGCGGCTGGTAGTTTCGAACCGCTGACCTTAAGGTTCACAGCCCGATTCGTAACCACTACGCTACCAGAGCTCCTTGTATATATATATATATCAGTAGTAAATTATGCCTGAACTTGATTAGCAGAAATCCTTATGATTTTGGAAACTTGCCTTTTAATTATTCAGAAACAAGCCATTCTGAAGAATTTGTGTTGGGTAACGTTTATTCCATGCCATGGTTGGCTGCTGATTAAAAGGTGAGATTGTCCTTTGTACTTCCAAACTTCCTAGGTCTGTTTCCTATTTTTCTCTTTGTGTCAACCCTTTCCCCCTACCTTCAGATCTCATAAAAAGTGAACATTAAAATGTGAATTTTTCAGATGCAACTATCCCTTGAGGATACTAAAAGTGCATGGAATGGGGGCTAAGGGGCGTGGGAGAAAAACACTCCAAAAAATGCATCAGGAATGATGTAATAGTAATCGTGTATCATTTTGGAGAGTTGGGTGTGGTCAGATATCCTTCACAGCCTATCAAGTCAGTATCTCTGCCTAGCAATTAGGCAGACAAACAGAATCATTTTCTTCATTCTGCCTTGATAATAGAAGCCTGCTCACAAAATGTGGACCTGAAAAGAAGAGTTAATTTAATCCCCTTTTAGAAAAGGCCCAGTTGGATTTACCAAAGGTCTTGGGTAAATGGACTGTTGTTGTTAAGCGCCATTGAGTGAATTCCGACTCACAGCAATCCTGAATAGTTTCCCAGGCTTTAAAAATCTTTGCAGTAGCAGAAAGCCTCATCTTTCCCCTGTGGAGTGGCTGGTGGACTTGAATTACCTACCTTGTGGTTTGCAGTCTAGGGTGAATGGGTACAATGGTAAAGTAGTGGCGGTCTTGACACACAGGAGTCTATTGAATCTCAGACCAGTGTTGGTATTTCCCAATTTGCTGTGGTCAAGAGTGTCTGATTATCACTGGGAAGACGTTGAGGAGATAACTCTCAGACTCAACAAAGGCACAGTACATTTTAGTTAAATTTCCATTTCCATATGATGCGTTGAGAAGTTAATTTTACTTTTCGGATTGTTTGAATTGCAAGTAGCAACCATTTTCCTTCCTAGAATACAATGACTGGCCATCGAGAATGGCTTGACTCCAATCAGAAATGCAGAGAATCTCCTGGAGAGTCTTTAATGGAGACACCATTAACTTAAGGCCTGGTCTCATGTGCTTTTATTTTCCTCCCTGCAGAGGGCGCTATAAAATCATCAACCCATCCAGACAAGCTTTACAACGCCCATAAGATCAAACCTCTTAGGAATTTAGTTTATATTACTAAATTAAAAGGCTTTCTAAATCAGGCCTAAATTTTACAAATCGGGCATCACTTTGCCATTATTAGCCTTGTTAGGCGGAGGCCTTGGACCTTCCTCACCCATTATTGTGGTTATTGTTAAGTGCTGTTGAGCCGGTTCTGACCCATAGTGACCTTGTATAGGGTTTCTGAGAAAGGGATGGTGAGTTTGAACCTTTAACCTTGCGGTTCAAACCAACTTTGCAGTCCAGCGCATTAACCCACAGCGCCACACCAGGACTCCTTCTCACCCCAGGACTAAGTTGTTAATATTTCATCTTTAGGGAAGAGGCCTTTGGCTCCCTTTTAACTTCGCTAACTGGAGGATCAGATCATGTTACTCTTTTCCTCTGACTTGAGAGAAAAAGTTCCCTAACTTTTGGCCAGGGTTGAGCCTTTTCTGTGCTGCCATTTTTAATGTCCATGTTTATCATCAATTCCTGCGTTTTTCAACATGCCAGAGCCTTCCTTTACTCCAAGTTGTAGCCAGGGGGCCCACCCATCTAACCTCTCTCTCCCCCGTCTCCCCGGAATAAGTGGAAGGCACTTACATTGGCATGTTGCTAGGCACGAAGTTACTGCAAGCAGCAACAAAGTCCGCGTATCCACAAAGCTGAGCATGTCTACCACTTAGACATGCAGACTCCTTGTGTCGCAGAGCCCCTGGGTCACCGGTGGAGGTATCACCTGGCGGGCGCAGGCATGCAGTCGTGGCCAGTACCTCCAACTTAGCCGAAACCTCCTGCCGCTAAAATAATAGAGCCCGGATCTGCCCTATTTATACGGCAAAAGTTTCTCTGGCCCGAGGGTGCTTCTAAAAGCGCATCCACCAATGAGAGGGCTGGGGCTGGGGGCCCGGGGTAGCCACATCTGGGAGGAGACTGCGGGGGCGCAAAGGAGGGAGCGAAGGGGGTGGGGAGAGGGACGTGGTCAAGGGGCTGTCTTCTAAAATTGGTTCCATTCTTTTTGAGGACGTGGACACTTTTGAGGCTTTCAAGGGAAACTCTGACTCTCTGTCTGCATACCTCCGCCCTCCCCATCCACCCTCCCTCCCCCTTCCTTTCCAAGTTTGGAAATTTTTTCGGACACGTCGAGGCGCTCGGCAGACAACGACCTGTGCAGCCTCCCTGCAAGCGTGCAGACTTCGGGGTCGCGGGACAGCCAGGAAGGGCCGGAGCCCGGGCATCAAAGCAAGAGCTGTTCAGTTCTGCCTCACCTTGTGCCCTGGACGGTCACGGACGGGCAGAATGGAGGGGCCCGGGCTCTTGAGGGGCAGGGAGGAGTGGGGTAGCTTCGACAGCGTGGCGCGGGCCGGTTGCCCGCCGCCCTCCACCACGCCCTCCGCCCCAGCCCATCTTTTCTCCAGATTGGGGGCGTGGTGTACGCCCTCTCGCTCATCTGGTTCTGGGAGAAGGAGAGAAGGTCTCCAGTCTGTGGAGAGTTGAGTTGGAGTGTGAGGACGCCTACTGTGGGAGTGGAGAGAGGGGACCCGGGTGTGGTGGCACCAGGCACTTTACTCACATTAGGTTAGTTTAAGCAGTGGGGAAGTCTTTTGGCCTCTTTGATGGCTCTTCCCAGGCCGATTCTAAAAGGAAGCTTTGGAGACAGGGGGGTCTGCCACTTCTTTTTCCAGGATCTCCTTTCTGAGAATCAGGTGGAAAATCCTTCATTTACTTAGGACCTCCTTCCTCTCTCCAAAGACTACTTGTTTGAATTTGCCAGCTACTCTCGGAGCCTGGACCTAGATAATCCTTCAACGAACCTCCAATTCCACTTGAACTCATTGTCCACTCACTGACATGATTACAGTTAGTGTTTTGGAACCTTCCTGCCTTGGTTTCAGTTCCCCTTCCCACCTGGGATAAAGCGCCCCGCCCATCTAGAGGGGTTTGTAATTCTAGGTTGGGGGTTCTCCCGTAGTCTTTTCTGGTAACATCCAAAGCAGCACCCCTGCCCACGTAGATGTTAGCCCTCTCCCAACATCTAACTTTTCTCTGTCCTTGCGGCCATCACCCACTTGTCACCAAGGATAGGAGGTTCTGAGACCTCCACCGGGAGGTACTGAAGACGAGAGGCCAGGGTTCCTAAGACATGTGAAGTACTGACTGTAGTCAACTTCAGTGACTACAATCTTTCCTCTTGAGTTGTCACGGTGCCTAAGATGTGCCTTTGCTTCTCTGGTACCCCATGGGGAAGTGATGAACTAGTCAAGTGCCATCCTACTCCAAAGTCAATGCAAAAGGAACATCTTTAGGTCAAGTCTGTCTCTGAAACAAACTATGAGAAACTATAGTGGACTGTAGTTCCTTGCTAATTCTTTTCTTGTCTCTCTTTCATTCTCCTTATTTGCTTTGTTTGAAGGAGGAAAAATTTCTGCAGCAGCTGCTATAAATCAAAGGGATTCAATATTCTAATATTCTTTAACTGTTCCTTCTAAATGTAAGAGAAAAAGGGTGGTGGATATAAGATAGAGTAAGCACAACTTTAATAAATCTTGTTTTATTCTGATTAAGGGTACTACTTAGAAAGATAACTTTGGAAGACAGATAACTTTGGAATATCAGTGAAGGAATTTGAAAGTGTGTCTGGTTAGCTCTAGGAGGAATCCATAGTTAAATTTGTTTCTGACAGGCAACAACGTTTAAGGTTTATAAATTCTAGTAACCTCAACAAAAGACCGAAGACTTGCATAACCTAACAACATGTCTTTCTTTCTCCAAAGCATCGTTGCTAAAGCATGATCCAAGGGCTTTAAAAGTGAAAATCACTCTTCTTAGTTAAGTAAAATGCTAATATATTACATAGTCAAATGCTTTTTCTGCATGAATCAGAAGACTGAGCAACAACTTTTAAAATAACCTCTCTGCTGAATTTTTGTTACAGAACATCATTTGTGCATTTGCCTTATTTTTTGAAAGTCAAAGATAAATTGTCAACAGAATAACTTGCATGTAAGGTAACAGATTTATGAAAGAGCCCCCTCTCCAAATAATTCTATGAGTTTATCTTCTGGTCAAAACCTGCAAATAGTAGAACTTGAAACAACTGCCCCAGATCTTGAAGGTTTAACTGTGAGCTTTGTTGCTGTCAAAATAGTTAAAAAGGTAGAACTTATGGGGAAATGTGATAAGAATTTTCTTTTTAGCATAAAAAGAAACAAGAGCTCTTTTTTGAGAAATAGAGAGTATAAGTTTAAGCACATATTTACAAACTTAAAGGAAAAATCTCTCTGTTATAGGCAGCAGAGTGAACTGATAACTTTAAAAGCATTCTTGGAAACTGATGCAAATACCAAATGTTGCTGGGTTTCCTCTCTGCTGATGTGGCAGGGCTGGAAGCAGGCAGTCGTCAGCACTTGGTGGGAGGCCCTGGATCTGGGCTGCACAATGAAAATGAAGATAACTGAAGGGGATATACATATACAATTTTTTTAAAAAAGTGGGAGGCAGATTTCAATTCCAGAAGTTTTTACATACAATTTTGACCTCTTTTTCTTACTGAGTATCACTTATTGGGGAACATAACTATTAAATATTTATTTTAGAGGAGGAATTATTTTATATTCCTTATGGGAGAATTTTTAAAAATGCTTCCATTTAGATCTCTGCTAAATGTTTTGTGCTTCCAAACAAGAAGCGTTTTGTGTGAGGAGAGCTGACCCACAGACTGACCTGAGTGTTTTGGTGAAGGTTGTGAGGGCAAGTGTGCATATGGAAGGGGTTGGGTGGGAAGTGGCGGCTGAGTAAGAGAGGAAAAGGGCATGAGAGTAGGATTGGGTGGAGGCTGAGAGTGGAGGTCTGGGAAAAGGGAAACAGGAGATGAAAGTCTTCTACATTTAACTGCTAGACAGTTAACACCAGGGACCCTATTCCCAAATCACTCTCAGAAGAAACACAACTATTACTTTAGCTCCCTACAACCAGTAAGTGAGGAGTCCTGGGGTGGCACTGTGGGCTAATGCACTGGACTGCAAAGTCAGTTTGAACCACAAGGTCGGTAGTTCAAGCTCACCAGCTGCTCCTTGGAAGCCCTATACAGGGTCACTATGGGTTGGAACCGACTCAACGTCACTTAACAACAACAACCAGTATGTGAATGTGGTCACACCTTAAAGGGAACAGTTGAGAGTCTGACAAAGGAATGCAGCACAGCCTTTTAATGCCAGGCTGTCTTATGCTCTTATTCCTTTCTATTCTTTCATCAAAGTAAACTCTGGTTGACATCTCATTCAAACCTTTATTAAGGATCCACCAACATTGTACTATCTCATTCCTGCTTTAGTTTGAGTTGGTTGTCAAATAATCTCTAAGAGGGTATCTTTGATATGAAGTTGGTAGCTCAAAAGGTTTTTGAGGGCTGACTTCTTTCTGGGATGTTTGTTTGGAAGGCATGGACCTTCATCTTACCAATTGAGTTATTCAGTTATTTAACAAAGACCAGATGTATATTCACTCAAGTAATATTTAGTGTTGTATCAGACACTGTACTAGTTTTCAGGCGTATGATTGTGCAAGATAATGAGATGGTCATTGTTTTCCAGGGGCTTGTAATGTGTTGGAGGGTAGAAGAGAGTGTGCAGCAAGTGCTGTGATGGGGGATGGTACAGAGTGCTTATGTGTTTCCTGAAGATTTAGGATGAATACCTAAACTAGATTTAGGTGGATGAAGGACTTCTAGGAGAATGCAATATCTTTTTTCAAGCCTTACAGAGGAAAAAGAGGTGAAGAGTGATCTAGGCTCAGTGGCATTAGAAAATTTGTTAGTCTGAGGAATGGAAAGCAATTCAACATGGTAGGAATGTGCATGGGGAAGGTTTTGGAAGGGGAGAACGTAGGAAAGAAGAATAGATGAGACTAGTGGATTTAACAGAGACAAGATCTTTGCAAGATCAGAGACTACAGCTTTTAGTATGCATTACATTACAACATAAAGAAAAGTAATCCTCACAACTGGTTTAATAAGCAACATCATGATTAAGGGAAAAGGAAAAAGACTGAAGTTGTCAAAGATTTCATTTTATTTGAATCCACAGTCAAACCCACGGAAGCAAAAACCAAGAAATCATGTGATATATAACATTGGGCAATCTACTGCAAAAATTCTTTAAAAAGTATTAAATGACAAAGATGCTTCTTAGAGGACTATAGTGTTCCTGATTGAAGCCATAACATTTTCAGTGGCCTCATATGCATGCAAAAGCTGAACAATGAATAAGGAAGACCAAAGAAGAATAGAATTATGGTGTTGTTGAAGAATATTGAATATATCATGAATTGTCACAAGGATGAATAAATATGTCTTGGTGCTTAGTAGAGGGTAAGCAAAAGAGAGGACAACCCTTAATGAAACGGATTAACACAGTGGCTACAACAATGAACTCAAACACAGCATTGATTGTGAGAGTGATCACTGTGAGTCAGAACCAACTCAGTGATAATAACAACAGATCAAAAAGGACCTTTCCAACAATTTTATGGTGTTTATATTATTTTAGTCATTCCATGGGGGAATATTTGAATGCTTTGAAGCAGAGAAATTAATTAAAGAATGCTTCTAAGAGGATGCCTTTGGCTGTAGTGTGGCGAGATCATTAGAAGGGAAACAAAGTAGAGGTAAAAAAAATCTGGTTAGGAGATTGTAACATAATTCTTGGTCACTTGTAGTAGGGTAGTGAATCGTGGTAGAGTTCAAGGGAAGTTGGTGGGAGTTAGGAATATTTTGGAAGCAGGAGAAAAAGATTCTGATGTTTGTTGTGAGAAGCAAGGGAAAGAGAAAATTCAAGGATTGTTTCTGGCTTTGGCAAGTGGCTGACTAGAGGGCTCATCCACTGAATTGGAAAGCATTTGAGGAGGAGAAAGTTTGGATTGAAGAATGGAGAATACAAAGTTTAATTCTGGATATGTTCAGTTTTGGGTAATTGTGGATAATCCAAATTGATAAGTCTTGGGGATAAACAGAAATGAAGACATAGAGTCCAATATACATATTTGGCCTGAATTTAGAGACAATTAAGACTCATCAGGTTGAAATCTTCTAATATATATGGAAGCAGAAAATAATAAAACATGGGAGAAAAATCTGAAAATCTA